GAGTTTATTTTTGTGAATGGTGTGAGAAAGTGGTCTAGTTTCAACCTTCTGCATGTTGCTGTCCAGTTCTCCCAGCACCATTTGTTAAAGAGACTGTCTTTTTTCCATTGGATGTTCTTTCCTGCTTTGTCAAAGATGAGTTGGCCATACGTTTGTGGGTCTAGTTCTGGGGCTTCTATTCTATTCCATTGGTCTATGTGTCTGTTTTTGTGCCAGGGAGCCTCATTTTCATGCTACCAGTATTTTCAAGTGAAAGGGGAATGTTGGTCTGTCCCCAGGATTTTATAGTCGGTGAGTAAAACTCTGCTGTAATCAGACCATGTGGTGATGCTAATTCATTAGCAAAATATGGCATAATTATTTTAGTGTTTATTAAAAGCATCTGTTTAAAAATTTTTTTAATATTTTGTTTTTTGGTTTTTTTTGAGAGAGCATGAGCATGAGCAGGGGAGGGGCAGAGAGAAAGGGAAAGAGAGGGAATCCCAAGCAGGCTGTGTGTCAGCGCAGAGCCTGATGCAGGGCTCAATCCCACTGAGTCACTTGAGTGACTGACTGACTGAGCCTTCCAGGTGCCCTTAAAATAATGTATCTTTATCAAATATTAGAAATCTCGACATTTTATATGTCAGAATTTCAAAAATTGTATAAAATTTCATGTTTAAGTAAATTGGTATGTCGTACTGGTTAAGAACTGGAGTTAGGGGCGCCTGGGTGGCGCAGTCGGTTAAGCGTCCGACTTCAGCCAGGTCACGATCTCGCGGTCCGTGAGTTCGAGCCCCGCGTCGGGCTCTGGGCTGATGGCTCGGAGCCTGGAGCCTGTTTCCGATTCTGTGTCTCCCTCTCTCTCTGCCCCTCCCCCGTTCATGCTCTGTCTCTCTCTCTCCCAAAAATAAATAAACGTTGAAAAAAAAAAAATTAAAAAAAAAAAAGAACTGGAGTTAAAACCACTCTAGTCAGTGGGTGATTGAGAATAAATAAATCTTTAAGAGAATAAGATTTTTATAGTAAAAGTGAGTATTTAACTCTAGAATTTACTTTGTAAAATGTCACCTGGATCTGTGTTTCCAAAAGGATTAGTAGCTTTTTAAATGATCTTTGTGACCATAATTTCCAGGCTTTTTAAAAATTTTGTGAATTTAAGATAAATATGAGATTTTTTCTGATGAGCAAGTCTGGTGCAACGTTTGCTTAGAATATGACAATTTGCATTAAGGATATTGTGCAAAGAATTAATATTCTTAACAATATATGCCTTTTTTTCTGAGTTAAAACAATGTTTCATAAATTTTTTAGAGTGTGGGAACTCTTCTTAATGTTTCATGTTATGGACATATTAGTACATTACTGAAAAATTTGGATCCTACTATATCCTGGTATTTTTATTTAACACTAATCTTTAGTATTTTGTCCTGTTATTAGCCCTCAAAAATGTGATTTTTTAATTGTGTGGATATATCATAAGCCATTTTTGTATTCAAATTATTCCTAATTTTTCACTATTATAATTAATGCTTTGAAGCAGATACTTGTATATAAAATATCGGCATCTGCTCTGAAAATTTCCTTGGGATAAATTCTCAAGGTGAAGTTAGTTAAGACAAGTGGCCTGGTGTTCATGGCTCACTTGCTCCCCGTGAAAGCCGCATGGTCTTCTGCTCTGATCCGAATTTCTGAGAGTTCTCTTTGCCCACACAACTAAAGACATGAATTAGCAATTCATTACATTTTTGTTAATTTGATAGGTAGAAAATGATGGCGTGTTGTTGTCTTAGTGCCTTAACAGTCTCTATTTGCCTTCTGTCTTTTCTGTCCCTTGTTACTGTTGTTTGTACTTAGCTGAATAGCGAATTTCTGTAATAAATATTTAAATAAGTACATTAAATGCTGTGACAGATACAGGGCTTGTAAATGTTTACGTATATTCATGTTGACACTCTAGGAGTTTTTAATGTGCTGTCCTTTTAAAAAAACTGATACACTGGGTGATAAAAAACTTTAGTATTGTGACACAATCATTGTTTCATGAAAACTTCTTGATAGTACGGGGAAAACATTTTACTAAATGAAATCTGAATGTGCTTAGAGATTACAATAATACTTTTTGAGTTATTTTGAAATGTATTATATAAAATCATTATAATGAGGTTCTTTCCCTCTAATAAGTCTTTCTCATGTCGAAATCTGTCATTTGGCATTTTTCAGTGCGGTCAAGGTAGATTGTTTAAATATTAATTGTAACCCCGTGAAGACTGTGATTGATGATCTCATCCAGAAGTTATTTGATACGCTTGTTCTTTCTTTGAAGAAGTGCATCCAGGGTAAAGACGCTTTTTGATTTTCATTTTAACTTAATGTTATATACAAAGGCATGTACTTTGATAGTTATGAAATGTGAATCCCAGTGATTAAAATCGACCAAGCTGGAAAGTATCATGAAATGAAATGTGCTTCAAATGGCAATTTTCATAACGTGGGAAAGCCCATGCCCAACTGTTAAGAGTCTAAAAGTGGAGGCGGTTTTGCTGTTTACAATATGCGCCAGTATCAGTTTGGTGCCTGTAGTACTGAGGAAGGTAGGCGGTTCTGCCATCATGTATTTCTTCTCATCTTTTCAGTTACTAAGATTTTCCAAAATTCTGCACTGTGTCTTTTTCCATGAAACTGGGATGCTTTAGCATATTAGCTAAAGGATGGGAAAGGTTACCAATTTTGAATGAAATATACTAAGAATGAGTACATTTTAACTTTGTCAAAATTTTGAGGTATAACATAAAACAACTAAACTTGTATGGTGCATTTCTTTGCTTATTCTGTATTTTAAAATTCTGTCGTGTGAGCAAATAATAATTTAAGATTTAACGTATGCCATATGGTGAGTACTTCCAATGCTCTTTGATTTTAAAATGATGCAGCGAAATATTTTTAGTGATAATAACATTCTATGTCACTGTTACCTGTTCAGCTCACTTACATGAAATTGATGCATTTGTAACCGAGGCTATGGACGTCTTAACAGTTATGCCCCAGTCTGTGGAAGAGATTGGCGATGCAAATTTGCAATACAGTAGGCTCCAACAGCGGAAACCAGAGGTGAGCATCGCCAAGTAAAGTTATCGATTGATTTTTATTGGACTGGAATGTTTCAATCAGGTAATTTTATGTGACCGTTGAGAAACATCATATAATTTCAGTATTGTAAGGAAGTCCACATAATCTGGCCCAATCGCTGAGTTCATGGTTGGACTCTGGTGCTATGTTGGTGCAGTGAAACAGTCTGAGTAAGAGTTAATATTCAGGAGTAGGTACAGTCTGCTAGGATGTGGCACATCTGAGTCAGACTAAAGTTAGTAATTCATGCTGTTCCCTCCGGGGTTGTAACCTGAAGGGTGCGGTTTGAGCTGAGTTAGGAATACACACGATCACACACGTACACACACACTTGCATATGGAGTTATTATATTATGGATGGTTTTAACTAAGTTTAGAAGCAGCAAAAGACATAACTCAAATCACAAGAGAAACTTTGATGTGTCCTTCCTGCGTCATAGACTTCATATGATAAAGCTCACTGAGAGGTGAAATCGTATGCTTTTGTGGCACGTTCCACAGCGAGGGTTAGAGAGGAGTAAATGTGTGTCCGAGCTGCTGGGCTTGGGCCCCTGGAAAGCTGATGGTAGCATTTCCTGGGAATGTGGGTGGCTGGAGGGGGAAGGTGTCTGGAGACTGGAAGTGGTGGGGGGGTTGGGACGTCAGTTGGAAGTTGAGTGAGGAATAGGGACTTCAGAGTGGAGACTATGTTTATTAATTGGATATAAATTTAAAAGTCATCTCTATGGGGCGCCTGGGTGGCACAGTCGGTTAAGCGTCCGACTTCAGCCAGGTCACGATCTCGCGGTCCGTGGGTTCGAGCCCCGCGTCGGGCTCTGGGCTGATGGCTCAGAGCCTGGAGCCTGTTTCCGATTCTGTGTCTCCCTCTCTCTCTGTCCCTCCCCCGTTCATGCTCTGTCTCTCTCTGTCCCAAAAATAAATAAATGTTGAAAAAAATAAAAATAAAAAAAAAAGTCATCTCTCCATGCATGAACTGTGAAGCCAGGGGATTGGATGAGACCATGTGGTTGATGGCGGACCATGGAGGGTGCAGAGCAGGGTAGGACATCCCAGCATTTACTGTGGGGATGTCAGAGGAGATGGCAGAGGACCCTGTGAGTGAAGCGAGAGGAGAGACAGAAAAGGTACCCTCGTAGAAACTAGGAGGAGAAACAGAGACGCTGTGCTGTTCCGCCCGCGAGGCGGGAAGTGGCAGTGGTGGTAGGAAGAGTCCCTGTCACTCAAGCCACAGTCAGGGGCCTGGGGCCGACCCGTGGGTGCGGGGGAGTCACGCTGCCGGGTTTGAAGCAGCAGGGGCCATACAGAATCGGGCTGTGATGTCTCTCGGGTGCCGTGTGGACTTGCAGGGGAGGACAGGAGGGCCCCGCCCGGGAGTCTTCTCAGGCTAATCTGGGTTCTGTCCACGTGTGGAAACCACAACCTGACTCTTCGTTTCTGCCTTCTCTGGCCTTCCTAGTACATCATGACTCAGTTTCACTTTCTCCGTTGTCCTTTTCTTAAATACTTTGTTTGTGACTGTTTCTTCTGTTCCTGGAATAGTTTATTTCTGTTCTTACCTAATCCCTAATCTTCATTCTTTGAGAAGCCTCCTTCTAACAGTTCCCTGTGAGTGGAAGATTTCTAATAAGAACTTCACCTGGAATAGTTAGAGCATTGTCTTTACAGACTCACAGGTTCCTTCAGTCCTTGTGACCATCTTTAGGATCCTTTTAACCTCTTTGGTAGAGTGCCATAGTTGAGTTTGTATATAGTAATAAGTAAGTATTAGGAACTTCATGTCCAGGAATTTAACAAATTATTTAGAACAGAAACCTTGATTTTTAAAAAAGCAAGAACTGGTTAGAATAGAATCTTTTTTTAAAATTTTACTTATTTTTTATTTTAATTTTTTGGAGAGAGAGAGAGTACAAGTTAGCGAGGGGCAGAGAGCAAGGGAGAGAGAAAAGTGGGGCTCACCCGATGGGGGGCCATGCTCACCTGAGGCAGGGCTGGAACTCACAATCCATGAGATCATGACCTGAGCTGCAGTCAGATGCTTAACCAACTGAGCCACCCAGGCGCCACTTACTTTTTTTTTTAAGTTTATTTATTTATTTTGAGAGAGAGAGGGAGGGAGAAAAGAAGAGAGAGAATCCCAAGCAGACTCTTGCTGTCAGCATAGATCCTGATGCATGGGCTCCAACCAATGAACTGTGAGCCTATGACCTGAGCTGAAATCAAGAGTCGGACGCTTAACCGACTGAGCCACCCAGACACCCCTAAAATAAATGGAATCTTGCAAGAAATTTGATAAAATAGGTTGTTTTTTTATGTTGTTATTTCTTCAACCTTTAGATTTTGCCCTTATTCCAAGAAGCTGAAGATAAAAACAGACTTTTACGAACTGTGGCAGGTGGAGGTTTGGAAACAATTAGCAATCTGAAGGCTAAGTGGGATAAATTTGAGTTGATGATGGAAAGTCACCAACTTATGATTAAAGATCAGGTAAGAACCTTTTAGTCATTGTGTTAACATGGAAACTTGATTTTTTTCTCACTGAAGATTCTGGCTTATCTTTATTCCATTGGAGCTCAGGTAGGTAGGAATTTTATATTGTGGATGAAATTGGCCTCCCTCAGTATTTCCGTACCGTAAAACGCTTTATTTAAATGATCATTTCCCGTACTTTGTCTTTATTTCCTACCATATGGAGAATTCAGGTAATCGTATTTTTGGTTTTCCTTATGAGTGAATATGTTTGCCTGCTATGTATGGTGACTTTTGAGGGGACACCTGGCAGTTAAACACACCTGTTGTACTCTCCTGCGTGGACACTGGGACACGCCTCCTCGGTTATGCAGCAACTTGCTGGTGTGGCACAGCTGGTGGTCATTGGCCAAGCATGTCTTATCACATCAACTTTGCTGATAGTTGTGGTGGATGCTGCTGATGACATGAATGAGTTTTTTTTTTTTTTAATGTTTTATTTATTTTTTGAGTGAGAGAGTGAGAGAGAGTGAGAGAGAGAGAGCATGGGAAGGGGCAGAGAGAGAAGGAGACCAAATCTGAAGCAGGCTCCAGGCTCCAAGCTATCAGCACAGAGCCCGATGGGGGGCTCGAACTCATGGATTGTGGGATCATGACCTGAGTCGAAGTTGGACGCTCAACCAACTGAGCCACCCAGGTGCCCCTGACACGAATGAGTTTTTAATGATGATGCAGGTAGTATATCTCTCGTTACTGAATATTTATAGTCTGATTCTATGTTTTTGACATCAAAATTTTATTGTACTTGAAGTCAGTAATTGAAAACAATCTTTTGAAAAATTTGTTTTGGTGGTGTTTCACCTCTACCTAGAAAGTGTTAGAAATAAAATGTGAAAATAAAGTGAGATTTTACTATAAACTGAATTACATAAACTCTTTTGGCTCATAGATCGAAGTGATGAAAGGGAACGTTCAGTCGCGTCTTCAGATCTATTACCAAGAATTGGAAAAATTTAAAGCTCGTTGGGACCAACTAAAGCCTGGTGACGATATTATTGAAACTGGCCCACAAAGTACTCTTGATAAAAGCGCCAAGTCAATAAAAGAGAAAAAGATGGAATTTGATGATCTTGAAGTCATAAGGAAAAAGCTGGTGTATGTTTTTTCTTTAAAATGGATAGTAGACATTTTGATTTATATTTCTCTGTATTAGGCCACAGGCTTTCTTGTATCTGTTTGTCTTAATGTTTTTCTATATAAACTTCTGAAGTTTTAAAAATGATAATTCTAAGTGCTCATGCTACTACTTTCTTAGTTGTGGGTGGAGTCTATAAGGACGTTAAAGGAAGCAAATTTCTGGTTAGGCTTAGAAACAGAACAGAAAATTAAGTTTACTTAGAAGTTACATTGGGAGTTGGAATACTTGTTTTCTGTGATTTCATTGTATTTAAAAATGAGGCCTATAAAATTAATGGAAAATTGCTTTCAGAGACCCGGAGAAGAAAAATGAACCTACAACAATAATATGAGGTTTCCAAGGAAAAAACCTGTTGCTTTATGTTACAAGTATTAAGGTTAAGTAAGCAGTGTTTCAGGTGTCGTCTCTTAGGTAAATGCTTCCATAAGATAGTGGTCTTCATGGGTGAGTGAAGGGTTTAGTACCAATTAGATGAAGGGTATCTTTTATTCTAGAATCTAATCCTTGGGTATTAATATTAATGCGATCTTTTATCAGTCCATGATATATGTCATTTTGAATCTTTACATTATTATCATTTATGACGTATGACGGACATAAAATACAGATGTTATCAATTCCACTTTGACTTCTTTGGAGAAATACGTATTTATGAATTTAAAAGAGGTTATACTTAAGTAGTTAAAGTAAAATTCTTATGCAGTCCCCCACTGTCTACCTTCACTATCAAATATGCACACACACACACACAGGGAATGCAGTTAAATAAACTTAGTGATATTTGACAGTTTTTTAAAATCTATGATATTTCACTCTTTGTTTCCATAGTGATGATTGCCGTCATTTTGGCCTAGAAGAGCCCAGCTTGTCTTTGGCAGATAGCATCTCCAAGGACATTGAGAGCTGTGCACAAATTTGGGCCCTTTATGAAGAGTTTCAGCAGAGGCTTGAGGAAATGGCCAATGAAGATTGGATTACTTTTCGGTTTGATTCATAAACACTATTTAGATTCTTATAATTTGGTAGTGTTTTTTGGGAGGTACATTTTGAGGTGTATTCCTGGTCTCTTACAGGACTAAGACATATCTGTTTGAAGAATTTTTGATGAATTGGCATGACAGATTAAGAAAAGTTGAAGAACATTCGGTTATGACAGTGAAATTACAATCAGAAGTTGACAAATACAAAGTAAGATGGTTTTACTTTACTATTTTAGAATGAGGTTTGCACCTTTCACGTGTCTTTTATGCAGCTGAGTGAGCTGTACTTTTAGTTTCTGATTTTCAGTGACTCCGTTACATGAACACACTAGGAGGTATGGAGTAAACCATAGAAATTATTGATCTTTCTGCTACTCTTTTGAAAAGTTAGAACTAAGAAATTTATGGTTAAAGTTAAAAATTGGAGTGTTTATACCTCTTAGAGCAGTTTAGGATCTGAGTCATTTAGCATATTTAGGATATAGGTTATTTCCTAAAATAATAAAGATAGAAACATTTTAGGTCATGTCTTCAAATCTGTCAAGCTACAGCAGGAAGTTTTCATGTATCCACAGTAGTGTTTAATAAAAAATCATACACAATTCTGTTTGAGAATTTGATTTCGAGTTTGTTAAATAAGATAATAGAGTAATTAACATTTTATAACTAATCATTAAAGGAAATAACAGTTTGCATTTTGACATATATTCTTGTGTGTACGTGTGTCTTTTTCTCTTTTAACAGACCGTAATTCCTATCTTGAAATACGTGAGAGGGGAGTGTCTTTCTCCAGATCACTGGCTTGACCTTTTTCGTCTGCTTGGCCTTCCTCGGGGGACTAGCCTGGAGAAATTAATGTTTGGTGACCTGCTCAGAGTAGCTGATATAATTGTTGCCAAAGCTTCAGACCTTAAAGTAAGAATCACTTGTATAAATATCTCATGAATATGACCTTTGTTAACAGATGGTTTTGCTTTGTGTTTTATGTAAAAAAAACAGCAAAACTTTTTTTTTCTCTTAATATAGTGACAGTGTTCCGCTAGTCCATTATTCTTTCTTTAGTAACACATCTGAATCTGTATAGGAGTATAGAAGCAGCGTAAACCCCTTCCTTGAGAGAAAGAAGACAATATGAAATAAAAAAAAGTAATCTTGGTTTAAGAAGGGAGTCAGCTTCGGGGCGCCTGGGTGGCTCAGTCGGTGAGCGTCCAACTTCGGCTCAGGTCATGATCTCACAGTTCGTGGGTTTGAGCCCCACATCGGGCTCTGTGCTGATGGCTCAGAGCCTGAGGCTGCTTCAGATTCTGTCTCCCTCTCTCTGCCCCTCCCCCACTCGTGCCATGTCTCTCTCAAAAATAAATAAACATGAAAAAAATTTGTTTTTTGAAAAAAAGAAGGGAGTCAGCTTTAATCGAAAAGCAAACAAATACAAATCATTTTATATAAAATACATTTAAAATCATGGGGTGTATTATAAATACAAGCTAAGAGATAGCAAAATCCAGAGAGCGAAACCAAGAACCAGTTTGCAAATCAGGGTTAGGAGAGGTCTGTGGTACAAGGAGAAATGGTACCGCCTTCGGCCGTCTTAAGTGGCAGACTCTGTGTGTTGTGATCTGCCCGTTTGATGTAAAAATAAAAGGACTCTTGATGTCACGTTGTTTTGTTCCTATTCAATATGTTCACCTTTGTGTTTGTTCAGAACCCTGGAGCCTGTTAGGTAATTGTGAGATCATAAAGCACAGTTGCTGTAGAAGATGGTTACTAACCACTTGAGCTGCCTCAGAAGTTAAATTTAAGTTACAGTATCATTGTTGAGGGCTGCAGAATTTTAAATAAGCCTGTTTTTGTGTTTTGCAATGGATTCTTGATTTTTCTTTTTTTAGAAGTAAAAAGCTTATGGCAGATCTTTAATATCGTACTTTGACTATGTGAGACTGCATACTTTGTATCTGATATCTCCTGATACATTAGCTAGTGATTAATTCTCTTGGAGAACATGTAAAATATATTCACTTATTTTTTCCTTTATTGTGAAAAGCCAAATAAAAATGTATTGTGTTATAAAATAAATATTGTATGGTTTATTTATAAAATTAATGTGGAAATAATAAATATGAATATTTTATGTTAAATAGGATTTAAACAGTCGGGCACAAGGTGAAGTTACAATCAGAGAAGCTTTACGTGAACTTGATCTTTGGGGAGTTGGAGCGGTATTTACATTGATTGATTATGAAGACAGCCAGAGTCGAACTATCAAGCTGATTAAAGACTGGAAAGACATCGTAAATCAAGTTGGAGATAATAGATGTCTTCTTCAGTCCTTAAAGGATTCTCCTTATTATAAGGGATTTGAAGATAAAGTGTCCATTTGGGAAAGAAAACTTGCAGAATTAGATGAATACCTGCAGAATTTAAACCATATTCAGAGGAAGTGGGTGTATTTGGAGCCCATATTTGGCCGTGGAGCATTGCCGAAAGAGCAGACACGCTTCAGCAGGGTTGATGAAGATTTTCGGTGAGCACGGCTATGTGGGGCGGAGACACACGCAGCAGCTTTTTATTCGTGTTGGGAGGTGCTTAACACGAGCCGATTACTTTTATGTTATGAGTGTCACCTGTGTCTTCAACCTCTTTCTCTTTTGGATCCTTGTGAGGGCTGTTTTCTCTCATTCAGCCATTTGCTTCTTGAACCGTGTTGATCTGACCTCTGTGTTTACCTCGTGACCTGATACTAACAGTAATGTTACTACAGTAGGAGAGGAATCATAATAGTACTAACATGTAGCTACTATTGCCAAAAGTAACACATTATTCTCCTGTTGTAAATTTGATGGGCATTTTTCGCGCCTCATTTTACTTCATCTCTGACAAGTATTTAAAAGCATCGAGCGGGGCGCCTAGGTGGCGCAGTCGGTTAAGCGTCCGACTTCAGCCAGGTCACGATCTCGCGGTCCGTGAGTTCGAGCCCCGCGTCAGGCTCTGGGCTGATGGCTCAGAGCCTGGAGCCTGTTTCCGGTTCTGTGTCTCCCTCTCTCTCTGCCCCTTCCCCGTTCATGCTCTGTCTCTCTCTGTCCCAAAAAAATAAATAAACGTTGAGAAAAAAAAAATAAAAGCATCGAGCATTTCTTGTTGGAGAGTTTTTTCCCTTGGCTTCTGGGGTACTGCAGGTGGTTTTCTGGCCATCCATCCGGGTCCCCTTCTAGTTTCTAGTCCTCAGGCCTCTCTGAACATCCAGCTGTGGACACTCCGCGGGATTTCGGTGCCAGGTCTCCTGTCACTGTGTCACGCTCCATGGGCGGTCTCATCCCCTCTTCTGTCCTTGTCCACCTGTCGAGCCCTCCTTCTCTCCTGAGCCCCAGTGGTGTGGACACCCTCACTGTGCCAAAAGCAGGTTCACAAGCTTATCCCTTTAGCTCAGGTCCTCTTCCCTGTGTCTTTCTCGATAACTGACTGCTCAGAGTGGAATCATAGGGGTATTTGACCTCCCCCTGTACCTCCAAATCCAGTAGGTCACTGCATTTGTTGATTCTGACCTACTTCATGTCTTTATGTCTCTCCTGGTTTGCCTTTATTCTGAGCTACTTTTGTCGTCACTCCCTGGGTCCGTGGCCTCACTTGGGTTTGTGCTCATCCTCAGCAGTGAGCCTCGTGTGTGACCGCCAGAGTGGTCTTGTGCTGGTGACTTGTTGTGGCCCGTTTCCTTGAATTCTTTAGTAAACGTGTAGAGAGGTTTCCTGTTGTTCTGAGGATAGAGCATAGCCTCTCCTTGTCCATTTCTGCAGCCTGCTCTTGTGCGTTCTCTGTTCACTTTGGGGACGCCAGCCTTGACTTGCTCCAACATTTCGAGCCCTTCCCAGGATCTTTGCCAGAAAGTGCTCCCCTCCTGCTCACTGATGTCTTTCTTTTTTTTTTTTTTTTTTTCAACGTTTTTTATTTATTTTTGGGACAGAGAGAGACAGAGCATGAACGGGGGAGGGGCAGAGAGAGAGGGAGACGCAGAATCGGAAACAGGCTCCAGGCTCTGAGCCATCAGCCCAGAGCCCGACGCGGGGCTCGAACTCACGGACCGCGAGATCGTGACCTGGCTGAAGTCGGACGCTTAACCGACTGCGCCACCGAGGCGCCCCAACTGATGTCTTCTTTCTATTCACCATGCAGACTCAGCCTCAATCACTTTCTCACAGAAGCTGTGGATTAGGGATTGCCCCGTTAGCTGCTTTAAAATACATTGTACTTTTCCTCATTAGTATATATCAATATTTTATTTAAATAATTTGAGAAAATATTTCATATCTTTCTCACTGAACCATTGTCTTTATGAGATGGGGCTAAATATTTGTTTAGAGAATGAACGAAATAAGCGAATTTGCAAAATGGGAGGTTAAGAATGGTAATGGAGGGCACCTGGTGGGCTCATTCGGTGGAGCATGCAACTCTTGATCTCCAGGTCATGAGTTCGAGCCCCATGTTGGACGTAGAGCTTCCTTACAGGAGAAAAAATAATTAAAAAATGGTAATGGGACATTACTAATTTTTGCCATTATTTCTTAGAAGAAACACAGTGGTGTTTTGCTTTTATAGTAGCGTTACCTCTTTAAGTAGATAAATAAATGTCTCAGTATTTCTCTTTCAGTCAAAAACTGTTAAAATGGAGGTAAAAATAACTTTTTTTTCTTCTGTAGATCGATAATGAGTGACATCAAGAAAGACAATAGAGTCACAACGTTAACGACTCACGCAGGAATCAGAAATTCGCTGCTAACCATACTCGATCAACTTCAAAGATGTCAGAAATCATTGAATGAATTTTTAGAGGCATGTTCTTTAAAAATATTTATGTAAGAAGTTGTAAAGTACTTTATTAGTTATTTGAAAATATAAGGCTATTCTTTTTGTTGTTATCAGGAAAAACGTTCAACGTTTCCAAGGTTTTATTTCATCGGTGACGATGACCTGTTGGAGATCCTGGGCCAGTCTACTAGCCCGTCAGTGATTCAGTCTCACCTCAGAAAGCTGTTCGCCGGTAAGAGCCAACACTCCTTCAACAGGTCCAGCGTTTCACGTACCTTCCAGGCATAATGTTAGGCTCTGACGTAGACTACTGAATAAAATGCCTGTCCTGCCCTCGGGAGGGATTTATATCTTGGTGGGACAGGCAGCCTCACGAGTTGGCCGATCGATGGCCGTGGCTGCGGCCGACAGGTATGTGCTGTCGTGGCTCGTCTGTGGGACCCGTCGCTCACGTCTGCGGCATCTCAAGGCTGACATCTAAGGGTGGATCTGAAGAAGGCGTCGGTCTTAGCTGAAGAAAGGTGTGAGGGCAGAAGGAATTGGCCATGCGGAGGCCTGGGAGTGATGGGGAACGTGCCTCTTCATTGTCGAGCTGAAGGTTTCCTGCCTGACGTCCAGGTGGAGGCACCCAGAAGGCGGTTCCTGAGAGCAGAGAGGTCTGGGACGGGGGTGGACAGTCGGGGGTCCACTGTGCACGGGTAGTGGTTAAGCTGTGGGACTCGGTGAGGTTACCTGGTGACAGGCGTACGGTGATGGGACCCTGGGCTCCAGCAGTGTTGTCACTGTAGGCAGGTTATTGAATACTGAAGGTCTGCCAAAGAAATAATGATTATTTTCTCAAAGCATTCCATTTGTGGGAAGAGAGCTGTGTTTTTCAAAATAACAAGAAAAAACTTTCATCGTGATCTTCACTTCTGATTAGGTATCAGTGAACTACACGCCCACAAGCCAAATCCGGCTCAGAGCCTGATTTATTTTATTTTATTTTATTATTTTACTATTTTATTATTTGTAACGTTTACTTACTTTTCGAGTGGGGGGCAGAGGATCTGAAGCAGGCTTCAAGCTCTACGCTGACCGCAGAGAGCCTGACGCGAGGCTCGAACCCATGCACCATGAGATCATCACCTGAGCCGAAGTCGGACGCCCAACCGACTGAGCCCCCCAGACACCCTCACAGCCGGATAGTTGAAAGTAGAGTTTCGTTGGAACACGGCCATGCCCGTCGTGGTCCAGAGCCACTTTTGTGTTGCAAGTGGAGAGCAGAGAAGTTGCCCCAGGGAGGGCAGAGCTGTGAAAACCTAATGTATTGAGTTTCTGTTGCTTCACAGAAGCATTTACTCACCAGTGTATGTGTGAAGCTTTCAGGTCCTTTATCTCAGCTGTGATTTGGGCTGTGGGAGGCTTGGAGAGACCTCTTGGCATCAGCAGGCTTGCATCCAAACTCTGCCTCCACTCTCTCAGTGTCATCTCTTACTGTCATTTTTCTAAAATGTTTATTAATTTTTGAGAGAGAGAGAGACAGAGCGTGAGCAGAGGAGGGGCAGAGAGAGAGGGAGACACAGAATCTGAAGCAGGCTCCAGGCTCTGAGCTGCCAGCACAGAGCCCAACATGGGGCTCGAACCCACGAACCGTGAGATCATGACCTGAGCCGAAGTCGGATGCTCAACCGACTGAGCCCCCAAGGTGCCCCTTGTTTCCTATTTTAAATTGGGAAGAATAACTTAGAGGGTTTTTCCTAAGATCAAAATTGGGTAATGTATTTAAGCTTTTGTTGTATACTGTTAAATAAAGTGTACAAATCTGGGGGAGGGAAGTCCCATTTGCCCTCCCTCTTTCTTTTGTCTCTTGCATCATGTTAGTAGAGTTAGCAGTATATGTTCTTTTCTTTTTTTAATGTTCATTTATTTATTTTGAGAGAGCACACATGCATGTGAATCGGGGAGGGGCAGACAGAGAGGGAGAGAGAATCCCAAGCAGGTTCTGCACTGTCAGTGTGGGGCCCTATGTGGGGCTCGAACTCACAAACTGTGAGATCATGGCCTCGGCCGAAACCAAGAGTCAGATGCTTAACTGACTGAGCCCACATGCGCCCAGTCAGTGTGTGTTCTTATGCACCTGTTTGTGTCTGGCCTGTTGTGCTCATTAGAATGGTTGGGAGGTCCCTGCAGGTACGTTTTGTTCCTTTTCATCACAGAGTAGTTTTCCAGTGTTGGAGTGTGTCAGCTGTTCGTTCACTGGCTGGTGGGCATTTGGGGGCATTTGGGTTGTTGTCAATTTTTGGTTAGGAGAAGCCGTTCTGTTGTATAGGGGAATTAATATAATTGTCATACGTAATGCATATTATCAGGTGTATATTATGCATTCTGTGGTAATGATGTGTCTTGTTTAATAATGATATCTTTAATCTTTGTGCATTTCAACTGTTCTTTTATATTATAGGTATTAACAGCGTGTGCTTTGATGAAGAATCAAAACATATAACTGCAATGAAATCTTTAGAGGGAGAAGTTGTACCTTTTAAAAATAAAGTTTTAATTTCAAATAATGTAGAGGTAAGTAATTCTTTTTCAACTATGAAAATAAAAAGAATTAACTGTATGAACTTTGTATCAAAAATAAATTAGTCGATTTGTAGGGTAAACTTTGGCCATTTAGGAAGCTCCTCTTGTGTCTTAAAAAATAACAGGGCACCTGGGGCGCCTGGGTGGCGCAGTCGGTTAAGCGTCCGACTTCAGCCAGGTCACGATCTCGCGGTCCGTGGGTTCGAGCCCCGCGTCGGGCTCTGGGCTGATGGCTCGGAGCCTGGAGCCTGTTTCCGATTCTGTGTCTCCCTCTCTCTCTGCCCCTCCCCCGTTCATGCTCTGTCTCTCTCTGTCCCAAAAATAAATAAACGTTGAAAAAAAAAAAAAATTAAAAAAAAAAAAAAAAAAATAACAGGGCACCTGAGTGGCTCATTTGGTTAAGTGCCCGACTCTTGACTGGGCTCAGGCCATGATCTCACGGTTCATGAGATCGAACCTCATGCCGGGCTGTGTGCTGACAAGACTGGCTATTAATCTGAGCTCCTCAATTTACTAGCTGTGTGACTTAGAATCACAACTTTTCTGTCTATCAGATACTCATCTTACTATATGTTGCAAAGCCTGTTTATTGAAAATATGGCTTTATACCATATAGTGTTTGGAACATTAGTATTCAACAGGTACTTGTATAAGATGAGTTTTTTCAAGAGGTGGAGTTAAAAATTCTTCTTGACTCTCACACTCCCAAAATGTGTTGTATGAGATGATTGTTTTATAAGATGATTTAGGTAAGCCTGAAACTAATGCATTTATGGAACGACTGTTGATTACTTGGCCCTGGAGCACTGGACGCAAACTGTCTGGGACATCTGACTGGTGTGCAGCGAATGCCAGACAGTGGTGGATTGCATCATATTGAACTGTAATCTTCACATTCCACAATTATCTTCAAACTTGCAGTTGGGGCCCGTGGCTTATCCCACGCTTAGCCGTTATAGTTCAGCGACATGCCCGTTCCTGGTTAAGGCTCAGCATTTTATCGGATGTTGATTACACAAATGAGGTGATTGAAGGCACATGCTTGTTAGGTAGCTCCCATGTTTGTGCTTGGTAAAGAGGTGTGTTTCTGTTGTTTGCCCTTCCTTCCTTCCTTCCTTCCTTCCTTCCTTCCTTCCTTCCTTCCTTCCTTCCTTCGTGTTTATTTCAAGAGAATGACAGAAAGAGCACAAGCAGGGAAGGGACAGAGAGAGGGAAAGAGAACCCCAAGTGAGCTCTGTGCCATCAGCACAAAGCCTGACATGGGGATCGAGCCCATGAGCTGCGAGATCAAGACCTGAGTTAAAATTAAGAGTTGGATGCTTGAGTGACTGAGCCACCCAGGTGCCCCTGTTGTTGTTGTGTTGGGACCAGATGCATGGAGAGAGGAAGAGCTTCAGCAGGGGCCGCTGGCCAGAGCAGGTTGGCCAGCAGAGGAATGGTGGGGTCTGGAAGCCCTGACTGTGATGAGCAGAGCTGTTGGTACCCTGGAGAGTGCTCTAAAGATAAAAAAGTCTAGAACTTTAAGTCTAGAACTTAGAGCTATTTAGCATTGTAGATTTTGTACTCCTTTTATTGCGCATATAGTTTCTTAAAGTGATCAATAAACATTCACTGCTATTTTTATCAGTCTTTTTATGTTACCTTCCATTACCTTTTATTATTTTACCTACAATCAAGTGAAAAAAATGTGTTATTTTGACTCGGAAACAAAATTAGTTTTGTGTAAAGGAGCAGTGTAGCTCCCTGGGTAATAGACATCACCCTAATGATGCATTTCCTGTTTACATCACAGCCTTCTGAACATGGGCTCACCAGGAGAGCCTGAGCCCCGACACTTAGCCAGTCCCTGTGGCCCTGATTTCCTGGCCTATCTAGCTTGATTTCTTAGAATGATGAAACCATGGGGTTATGTTGCTCGTAGTACCGTCATGTGTAGAGTTGATGATGGTGGCTGACTACACTTGTATGAGTTTTCATGCTTAACCATGATCCCCAGAAGTGGAAAAATTGATTTCTTCCAGTTATTTAAATCTTTCATTAATAAAATAAGTATGTCCTGTAAGACGATTGTGGGAGTATGAGGGGCAGTAAGAAATTGTAATCCTGCTTCCTGAAATGAATAGGGTCGCTCAACAGGGTAGGTGTTTGTTTTACGACTGCGTTTGTCATTGGTAATTCTGTTTCCAGACCTGGTTAAATGGTTTAGCCATGGAAATGAAGCAGACCTTGAAACAGTTGTTGGCGGAATGTGTCACTGCTGCACGCAGTCCTCCAGGTGCCGTGGACCCGTCCTTGTTCCCCTCACAGGTAAGCGAGCGGCCTCTGTCTGGGGCGGAGGGAGGCCAGGGCATCACACGGCAGGCGGCTCTTCATCCGGCGGTTCGCACCGACCAGCTGCCTCGCTTCTGTGTGTTCGCTCCGTCAGCTGTGAGGTGTGCCGGATGAGCTGCTTGGCGGCCACGTTCTCTTACAGCCCCGTCAGCTTGCTGTCACTCAGATGCCTTCACGCCGAAGGCATGCCGAGAGCCCAGCAGCACGGGCCGGTGGGGCATGAAGCGGGAGGGGGGTCAGTCACGTGGGAGTGCTCTGGTTCCCGAAGATTAGCCCGTCGTTGATGGAGAGGCCCGGAACCCGCAACGCTGTCCCTGCTGCTCCCGTGGGATCACCCTGGAGACGGGGCTGGCAGGAGGTTGGCGGGGTGTCGGTGCAGGTCAGAGATCCGGCCTGGGCCCTGAGCCAGAGTGCCGGCCGGCAGCTGGGAGCCAGGGTGCACACGCTCGCTGGTCACAAGAACGCCCACCTGAAACACCAGCCGTGGATCTGCACCGTGTGAAACGTATTCCAGGTCTCACCCGAGCATAGTGCTAAGACCCGCGCTCAGTGCCCTGCGTCGTTCAGGGCTTGCTTCCTGCCTGGCTGGGGCTCAGCCTCCAAGCGAAGGGCACCCGGGACTTAGTTCTTGGGGCCTGTGAAGGGCGGGCCTTGAGGTGTTCTCTGATCTCTCACAGGAAAATCTACCCTGCTCAGCGTTGGTTTCTTTCCACGCTAAAGCATGTGGTAGCTTTGGCACAAGTTTCATGTTGGTTCTTTTAAAGCGTGAGACCTTAGATAGGAATCTTGGAACATTGTAGATTCTTAGCCATTTTATCTTTCATTCTTTGGTGCTTTCTAGCCTTTTGAGTCAAACTAAAATATGTTTTAAAAATTCTCGTTAAGCTCTTAGAGAAAAGTAAGAGTAATCAGCAACGAATAATAATGCCGTTGCAAAGTCAAAGGTAAGCTGCTGTGTTGCTACTGAAAATGCTCCCTGTTCCTGTCGACTTCCAGGTAGGATTTAAGTGAACTTAGGCTAAAAGACAAAAGGTGAACGACTACACAGAAGTAAGGATTGCATAGCGATGGACTGGGAGAATGACCCTCGTGTGAGGAGATGCATGGGAGAGACGGGCAGAGGAAACCGGGCTGCACCATCAGAGCCCGCAGCTGACCTCAGGGCTCTCGAGCGGCCAGGTGACAGTGTGGACGGTGGACACTGTGAATAGTTCATTATCTCTGTGCAAACATGGACAAGTGCCAGTAGGAATAGTTCATTTTCAACCCAAACCAAGTATTCTAGTGTCTTAGCAGTTAATGCTTAAAAAAATTTGTCTCAAGAGCATTTATGTAGGTGATTGAATGGTGCACCTGGGTTCATGTACCTGATGCAGGCTGTTAGGTACTCTTATTGTCTTTGAGCTCTTCTTTTTTTTTTTTTTTAATTTTTTTTCAACGTTTATTTATTTTTGGGACAGAGAGAGACAGAGCATGAACGGGGGAGGGGCAGAGAGAGGGAGGCAGGGTCGGGCACAGGCTCCAGGCTCTGAGCCATCAGCCCAGAGCCCGGCGGAAGGCCTCGAACTCACCGGACATGCAGATCGTGACCTGGCTGAAGTCGGACGCTTAACCGACTGCGCCACCCAGGCGCCCCTTTTTTTTTAAATTTAATTTATTGTTTTAATTTACATCCAAGTTAGCATATAGTGCAACAATGATTTCAGGGGTAGATTCCTTGGCATGGTAGCCCATCCCTCTTTGTCCTCCCAATCCCTCCAGTAACCTCTGTTCTCCATATTTAAGAGTCTCTCATGTTTTGTCCCCCTCCCTGTTTTTATATCCTTTTTGCTTCCCTTCCCTTATGTTCATCTGTTTTGTCTCTTAAAGTCCTCATATGAGTGAAGTCCTATGATATTTGTCTTTCTCTGACTGACTGATTTTGCTTAGCGTGATACCCTCCAGTTCCATCCATGTAGTTGCAAACGGCAAGATTTCATTTTTTTTGGTTGCCGAGTAATACTCCGTTGTATATATATACCACACCTTCTTTATCCATTCATCCATCGAGGGGCATTTGGGCTCTTTCCATACTTTGGCTATTGTCGACAGTGCTGCTATAAACATGGGGGTGCACGTGTCCCTTCGAAAGAGCACACCTGTATCCCGTAGATCAATGCCTAGTAGCGCCATCGCTGGGTCATAGGGTAGTTCTATTTTCAGTGTTTTGAGGAACCTCCACACTGTTTTCCAGAGTGGCTGCACCATTTTGCATTCCCATGTTACATACTCTTCATTCACTTCTGTAAAGGCATTTTTGTAAGGACCTCAGGTAATGTAGACCAGGAACTTTCTGCTCTGGGAAGGAGACAGCATGCAGAGTGGGAAGAATCTCACAGACCTTGGTTCAAAAACTGCTTTTGTCAGCATACTCTGATTCTTCTAGGCACGCATTAAGAGGGTATAATGATAGGAACACTGCCAACTTGTTTTGAAGGTTAAATTGTACAGTGTTGGCAAAATCCTGTCAGTGATGGTTACATTTTGGGCAGTTAGTAGCGTGAGTGCCTGTGCACATATCCTGATGGGAGCATGACTGCAGGATTAGCCTGGACTGTATCTTGGCTCCCTTTTTGTAGCGTCCTATGGAAATCGTATAGCAGGCTGCTAAAAGCTGAGATTATTGACGTGCGTTTATAATACAGAAATTCGGTGGTGGTGTCTGAAAGGAGGTTCCAGTGTATGAGTACTAGTTTGGGGCTGGCAAGTGAACATTTTCATACGGAAATTCAAGGCAAAATCTTTTCTCCAGAAGTAGATTTGGATCTTCTTAAACGTTTCTCCTTCCTTACACCTGATGAAAGACGCTAATGAGTTTGTCCTACAAATCTGGGGGGGTTGATTTTGCCCCAGACAGACTTACTTTTCCTTTAAAGAATGATATTTAATGCTGCATATACAATGATGTTTATACAGTGTTTGATGATATGTGAATACCAGTAACACACAGCTTAGCCTGCTGTGTTAAGTCATAAAATGTATACTGAGGTGACTAAATTTGATGACATATGATATTCATCTGGGTACTGAAAAGTATGTACCAGAAAAACACTCTTCCATAGTAGTTGGTCAGCAGGTCTAGTGTTTTTATGTGATGATGTTTCATGTCTTTAGTTTCTGTGTTCATTTAGGAACTGTATCAAGGGGCGCCTGGGTGGCTCAGTCAGCTGGGCGTCCGACTTCAGGTCAGGTCACGATCTCGTGGTTTGTGGGTTCGGCCCTGTGCCGGGCTCTGTGCTGACAGCTCAGAGCAGCTCAGAGCCTGGAGTCTGCTCTGGATTCTGTGTGTCGCTCTTTCTCTTCCCCTCCCCTGTTCGCACTCTGTCTCTCTCAAAAATAAACATTAAAAAAATAAAAAAAAAAAAACTGTATCAAAGAATTTGACTCCAAGTTGTCAAAGGTTAGCGTTTAAATGTATAATTGCTTTATCAGTAGCCATGCTAGATTGGTACCGTTCCAGAAAGCCTTTCAACTAGTGTTACCATTTCATGTTTTTTGTAAATATAAAGGTTGTATCATAATCCATACCTAGTTTCTATTTATGGGTATTAGAATGAAAGATTACGACAACTTAATTTAAGATAAAATTTTGAGGGACTCCTGGGTAGCTCAGTCGGTCAAACGTCCAACTCTCGATTTAGGCCCGGGTCATAATCTCGTAGTTCGTGAGTTCAAGCCCTGCGTCAGGCTCTGTGCTGACAGTGTAGAGCCTGCTTGGGATTCTCTCTTGCTTTCTTTCTCTCTCTCAAAATGAATAAATTAATTAATAAATTAATTTAAAAAGTTAGAATTTGGAAATTCGACACTTCAGTAGTATACTGAGATTATTTTGGAATGCTAGAATATTACCATTTTACTAGATGGAACGCATCATACGCTGGTATCCTTGCGTCCTTGAAAAGAAGCCATTTGTAAAGGGGAGAGTGCAGAGAAGAAAGGGCAGACGTCTTGGGTTGCATGAGCTTGGTGGGTCTTAGGACAGAACCCAGGTGTTGTGGGAGGGTCGTAGGAGGCGGGTCGGTGGTGGGCTTGGTGGCAGCACACGGTGCTTCCCTGCAGCCGTGCGGTCCCGTGCGGTTTGAGGTGCCAGTGACACATGCCCATAGACCTCGCAGGCGAGTGCAAATCCAGAAAAGTGTCTTCCCTTACATTTATGAAATGTTTCTAGGTAAATTTACCTTGTAAAATATTTTTTCTCTTGATCCATTAGATACTGTGTTTGGCAGAGCAGATTAAGTTCACTGAAGATGTGGAAAATGCTATCCAAGACCATAGTCTTCATCAGATCGAAACCCAGCTGGTGACTAAGTTAGAGCACTATACTAGCATCGATACGAGTTCGGAGGATCCAGGGGGCACTGGTATGAACAATGTTCCATTTTTTTGCCTCCTTTTGGGTTACTGGAACTTTTTTTGTTAGTTTATCTTATCTGTCGTGTTTCTGACTATCAGTCATCTGTTTCAGAGGTTAGTTTAGGAATTACAACGTACATACTTTAATATTGTACTTAGAATTGGTGATTCATTAAAACGCGTGTAGAAACCTTACCCCGTACTAATTTCCTTGTCCTCTTCTAGTTGTGTGGTAATTGTTTCATTTATTACATCTGCATACTCTGAAACCTCGGAGTTACATTGTTGCCTGTAAACATGGAGTGTATCTTTAAGGACCGGGAAGCACAGTCTGTTGTACTTAACTGGGTGCTCACCGCTTCTCTCGCTCTGCCTCCGTCCTGATGCTCCAAGCTTCCTTCGGGTACCGTTTTCCTTCTCTTTGAAGGACATCCTTCAGCATTTCTTTTAGAGCAGGATTGCGGGCTGTGATTTCTTTCCTACAGATTTTCCTTCATTGGAGAATGTTTTTATTTCATCTCTGCTGTCGTAAGTGAATTAGGATTGTTTTGGTTCTTTGCATGTTTTTTTTTTTTTTAACTTTTTTTATGTTTATTTTTGAGACAGAGAGAGGCAGAGATTGAGTAGGGCAGGGACAGAAAGAGAGGGAGACACAGATTCCAAAGCAGGCTCCAGGCTCTGAGCTGTCAGCACAGAGCCCAACGCGGGGCTCGAGCCCATGAACCATGAGATCATGACCCGAACCAAAGTTGGAGACAACCGAGTGAGCCCCCCAGGTGCTCCTATTCTTTGCATGTTGAATGATGTGGGAAGATACCCTGGACGTCTTCAACATTGTGTTATGAGCGTCTGGGTCTTGTCAGTCCTTGAGACAGTGTTGATATTTTCTGTTAGCAGTAGATGTTGGGTTCGGGCCCCACGTGCCAGCCAGCCTTCTGTGGTTTGTGGTTCTGATGCCAGTTCTCTTTCCAGAGTCTCTGAGTCATGTGTAAGATGTCAGATCACTATGCTGTGCTCCTGAATCGGTCACAACACCATAAGTCAACTGTACTTCAAAAATGAAGTCTTTGCAGCACTGTTGAGATGGGCTTCACGTGTGCGCCATCTAGCGGCCAGTTCTCAGAGTGCCTGCTTTGATGGTTAGGGTGCCATCTGCGTTGCTTGGGGGTGGGCCCAGCAATCCTAAACAAGTTTCCAGGGTCATTTTCCCAGCCCTCCGTCTCCATGCTCTTCATAGTACTTGGTGGTTTTCTTGGGCTCCTTTTCTGTTCTCCTGGCCAGAAAGCTGGGGTTTCATGTGCCCTGACCTGCTCACTTTCTGTGACTGTGTCTGTGTCCTGGGGCAGTTGGTGGCAGAAGAGAGAGGAGGAGAGCACGTGGGGTTCCCTTCCCTCAGGGTTTTAGCCCCTCGGTCTCCGGGGCCAATGCTGTAGCCCCCAACAGATTCCTTGTCTGCTCCTCACGCCTGAGCCCCGGGCCCTCCCCGGGAGTCTGCCTGACCGCCAGTCCAGGTTGCTGGCTGCATTGGCCCAGGCCTGGGGAGACCAGAGAGATCAAAAGAAAAGGGTAAATCCGCCACTGGTTTGGTGACATGTCTAATTCTGATCTTCCCCAGTTGGCCTGATACTCTTTGCTTTTCAAACTCCGAAGCAGCTGAGTGCCCATTGTCCGTGTCTTATACTTGTGTTCACAGGGAAAAGCCGGATGGGGTGTGCTTGCTTCTGGTGTAAGGGACCGCAGCCCACTCTCACTGAATTTGATGTCCTGTTCTTCGCAGGGGAATTCTTGTTTCTGACTGGTGGATTTGACATCGGTTTAATTTGTTACATTATTGTGTCATTCATTTGTATCATGAAATTAACATTTAGATTCATTTTGAAGCTCTGTGTATGTACGTACTGAATACAGAAATCTCAGGCTAACATTTTCTCCAAACATTTTACTTTGCATACAGAGTCTGGCATTCTGGAGCTTAAACTTAAAGCCCTGATTCTTGATATCATTCATAACATTGATGTGGTAAAGCATTTAAACCAAGTTCAGGTTCATACAACTGAAGACTGGGCCTGGAAAAAACAAGTCAGATTTTATATGAAAAGTGATCATACTTGTTATATTCAAATGGTGGATTGTGAACTTCAGTACACTTATGAGTACCAGGTATGACTCGTGGCAAACGTGTTTCATTTTTTCAATTAAAAATTATTTATTTTAACGGAAATTTGCTGTTGTATGGAAGAATTTTATTTGAGTCCTAACTTTGAAGGATATATTTGTCTGTGACTGTTTTTTTCTGTTTCATCATAACTAAGAAGACGTTATGTTGGAGAAATATTGGCAGAAAATCTAAAATAGTGGCAGAGTTGTACTGCATTGCGACAGAAGCCGGGCTCTCCCTTCGATCTGGGAAGGGTGGAAGACCCATCCCACGAAAGGAGCCCGGCCGGGCCCCACGCGAGGCCGTGGTTAGCGCCGTCTCACTTGCTGAGTGTTTTCAGTCTGTGCCATAGAAGAATTTCCAAACAGACAGACAACCTAGCTCATGGAACCTGTTCTCAAAACACCCCGCTGCATCCTCTCTGCATGTCCCATCCCGAGTCAGTCTTCAGAATATATCTGACGGTTGGGTTAATAAGTGCATGTCAGGAGAGTTGCCAGCTGGCTCCTTCAAGAAGGGAATGTTTTAGGAGACCATGTCTGTGTCTACCTCCGTTGAATAAAAGCCCTATAAAGAGCAACTGGGATTGGTTCTGTTTTCCCGAAGACTTAGGAGAAATTTTGAGACCTCTTTGATGAGATAAAATTAGTAATTTCACGAGGCATTTTTCAAAATAATAACGTTGGAGTTCCAAAGTTGTTCTGACTTAAAAAGATCATAAGATTCAGGGAAATAATTTACACGAATTTTAAAATACAAAATAGGATGATTATCGTATCATATAGTTTTGGATTTTTTCACCTTAGCAGTATGTCTGTACCATTACCAAGAACCGGAGAGAATGTTTGGAAAACCTAACTGTATATTAATTGAGGAAGGCATAAACCACATGCCTGAGATTAATTTAGTTTTTACCGCTGTGCGCTTTTAAAAAGTTTCTTTCCCTAAAAAAAGTATTTCGGGTATTTTTCTCTGTTAACAGCTTTTTAGCTAGTGCCACAAGGACACGTGTGGGACGTTGAGTACAGCGTGAGCATTCACCCTTTCCTCTCCCTCGTGTAGGGCAATGCTCCCAAGCTGGTCTACACGCCGCTGACGGACAAGTGCTACCTGACGCTGACGCAGGCCATGAAGATGGGCCTGGGCGGGAACCCGTACGGGCCGGCGGGCACGGGGAAGACCGAGTCGGTGAAGGCCCTGGGCGGACTTCTCGGGAGACAAGTCTTAGTTTTTAATTGTGATGAGGTAGAGGAAATCATTCGCAAACCAGATGGTAGTGTGTTAGTTATGAGTCTGGGTTAGTTTTCATGTCCTTACATATGAAATACTCTATCTTGAGATCACTTTGCTTTTGGGTAGCTTGAAAACAGAATTTGTTTTGTTTGAAAAGCAACATGGAGAAAGGCTGCAGATAATATAGACTCCGAACTTTTCTAGAGAGAACTATTCCAAATAACTTTAAATACAGAATGAAGATTTGAGGGTGCAGAAATGCTTATTATAGGAAGGAAAAGAGTGAACAGAAAAGAGAAAAAAGTAAACTAATTTTGAAATGACTGTTTTTAGAACATTTTGTGTAGGATTTCTATTTTAACATAAAGAATAGCCAAGAATCCTGTATCTATTTAGTTCTGTGTCCTTCGCAGAACACTTGTACATGAGTTCCTTTGTTTATTCTTTGAAACTCCCCTGGAAAGTGTAGCTGTTGAACCTGTGCGAAGAAGAGAGAGAGATGGGTGAAACGATGACCTGCTCACTAAGTGACCAAGTATTCAGTTATTTTTAGAGATCTTCATTAGTTTTTAACGGATGTAATTTTTGTTGTAATTTTTTAGGGCATCGATGTGAAGTCAATGGGACGGATTTTTGTTGGTTTGGTGAAGTGTGGGGCCTGGGGTTGTTTTGATGAGTTTAATAGACTGGAGGAGTCTGTGCTGTCGGCAGTGTCCATGCAAATCCAGACCATCCAGGATGCCCTGAAGAACCACAGAACCGTGTGCGAGCTGCTTGGCAAGGAGGTATGGCATGTGTTGGGAATTGAAAGAGTTGAAGTATTCTTTGAGACTGCGCATTACTCACACTCAGGCAAACGCTCTGTCTTTATCTCTCCTGGCATCCCTGCTTCTGACTTGTTTGTTAAACCTTTTTGCCCATGAATCATCCGAGGTTTCTCACCCTATTTTGGTCGCACCTCACCATTCACCTTCAGACTTCGAGTGCTGCGTGTTTGTGGGAATGCTGCTACCGTTTACTGGGCACTTACCCTGGGCTGGCACCCCGGGCTGGCACCCTAGTGCTCCTGTGTATGCTCTCACTTCATGCTGGTAACCCTTCCACATGGGTACTGTTGTGCTTTTCTTCTTTATGGATGGGGAAGCAGAGCTTGGTGAGTCGGGAGAAAGCAGTGGGGCTGCGAATTGAACTCGGGTCTAATTTGGAAGCGCATGTTTTTAATCACTAGTCTTTTTTTTTTTAAAGATTTTTTTAAATGTTCATTTATTTTTGATAGAGAGCATGAGTGGGAGAGGGGCAGAGAGTGAGAGAGGGAGACACAGAATCTGAAGCAGGTTGCAGGTTCTGAGCTGTCAGCACAGAGCCTGATGCAGGCTCGAACCCATGAACCATGAGATCATGACTTGAGCCGAAGTCGGACGCTTAACCGACTGAGCCACCCAGGTGCCCCTTTAATTACTATTCTGTATGCATCTTAGAACAGTAAGCACTTAGCTGTTTTTCTGTTCCTCACTTTTCCCCAGAGGAGATCCACACTCCTGTCAGGAGAGTGTGAGCATCTGTGTATGGAAGTGTAGCGCTGACAACACTGGAAGTTAGCTGTGAAGTTACCCGCTGAGCCACATAGTGTCTTCACAGCACAGGTTTCTCAGGGCAGGGCAAGGAAGGAATTGCGGTTCTCATTTAGTAACAGCTTACTCACGTGTTGCTTAAACTCTTCATGAGGAAACGAGAAACTATTACGTTTCTACCTTTGTGCCGTCACAGCTGACTTTCTTCCGCACTGAGTGTGTTTTCTCCTCTCCTCCTCTTACAAAGAAAGGGTTGTCCTTGTTCCCGGTCCACACTAACCTGCCCACTTGCTGGGGCCGTGTCCCTGTGTCCTCTGTATTGAGGACTTAGCCCTCCCTCCTCTGCCCGCTCATCACTGGCCTTTAACACCACTGCATCTTGTCCTCTTTAATAACGTATGTCGTGTAATAATACTATAATGTTTGATGTAATGAACACACAAGCAGACCTTCCCCTCACTTACCTGTCCATTCATTGCTCTTCCTGTTTTGTCTCCTTTATAGCCAGATTTTCTTACTCCAGGTGTTTCTACCTAATTGCCCATTCACTGTCTACACTCTGATTTCGCTTTAAGTGTGCTGTGGAAAACGCTCCTGCTAGGTGCTCTCATGATACACTGCCCTGCCCTGCCCTGCCACAGCCTCGATCATACCGTGATTGCTCGTAGACCGTAAGCTGCAGGAGGACAGAAACCGTTACTTACTTTAGGTCAGAGTTGTGTTGTCTCCCGATACAAGGAGGCTTGTGGTAAACACAGACAGGAGCAGATGGGCAAGCGAGTCACCACCTCCGAAATTCCGGCCTCACAGAACTGATTATAAAGGGCCTCTGTAAATGCCGCTGTTCTTAAGGCGGTTATTGTATGTCGAGCAGGGAGATCCTTAGCTTATTAGCGTTTACCTTTTGCCGAGTTCTAAGATCTGTGTGTCGAAGTATGCACAATAAAAATCTGTTGGCAGTGTATTTTATATTTATAGTTACAGATACTTGGTGCCCATATTGTAAATTAATATTTCAGGTGGAAATCAATTCAAATTCTGGGATTTTTATCACCATGAATCCTGCTGGAAAAGGTTACGGAGGAAGACAGAAGCTGCCTGATAATCTTAAACAGCTTTTCAGGCCGGTTGCCATGTCCCGCCCAGACAACGAGCTTATCGCTGAGGTCGTTCTCTATTCGGAGGGCTTCAAAGAGGCCAAAGTCCTGGGCAGAAAAGTGGTAGCTATCTTCAATCTATCCAGGTGAGTTTTCCCGTGTTAAATATTTTTATGATTTTTGGTTCCGATGGTTGATTATGACCATTTTTCACGTTTGTCAGTGATTTGCATATTGGCGATTGTATTGCACTTAAGGTGTCAATAGGGAAGATTTTAGTTTGAATAAGGACACATCTCACTGAAAACTACTTGTTCCTTCAATGCTATCAATTTGACCTGACTTCCTTTCTGCAAAAATGTCTTCACTGGGGCGCTCCAGCTAAACGATGCTAATTGAACAAATCAGCAGACTCCTTAAAACCTGTCCTTTGGAGAGAGTCCTCCAGTTTTTCTCGTGTCGTATTTCTAGTAATAGCGGTGGGCTTCTGGCTTCTCTGGGCATCCTAACATTCTGTTCACGTTACTTACGAGACAACTGGAGTGCCAGAAACTGAGGGCCACAGGGCTGGAGTAGAGAGTTTAGGAGTAAAGGTGATAGGCACTTGTCATTTAGTGTCTTCATGAAGGTGATTGGCCAGGTCATGACACGGTTGTCCTGATCCTTGGGAGTGATCGTTTTCTGTGATGGCTCCTTTGTATAGATTAATGGAGTATCAGTACCCATTTCTATGTGTCAGTGGTTACCTCTTCAAATACAATGAAAAAGTAATTTCTGGCTGTCATTGCTTTGTGATTTCCGTGTCTCTTTAAGGGAACTTTTGACACCTCAGCAGCATTACGACTGGGGTCTGAGAGCCTTGAAGACGGTTCTTCGAGGAAGCGGAGGCCTTCTTAGACAGCTGCAGAGAGCCGGCGGGAAACACAAAGGTAAGGTCTGCGATTCAGATGCGATCTTAGTTTTTAATTTTTTTTTTTTTTTCAACGTTTATTTATTTTTGGGACAGAGAGAGACAGAGCATGAACGGGGGAGGGGCAGAGAGAGAGGGAGACACAGAATCGGAAACAGGCTCCAGGCTCTGAGCCATCAGCCCAGAGCCCGACGCGGGGCTCGAACTCACGGACCGCGAGATCGTGACCTGGCTGAAGTCGGACGCTTAACCGACTGCGCCACCCAGGCGCCCCCGCGATCTTAGTTTTTAAAATAAACTTTAATTTGGAATAGTTTTAGATTTACGGAAAAGCTATAAATACGGTAAAGATGGTTTTGAAAACCTGGCCCCGTTTCTCCTGTTGTTAACATCTTACGTTAGTGTGCTACATTTATTGCAACTAGTGGAACGATATTGAGAGGTTATTTTTTCAGCAAAGTCCATACTTCATTCACATTTTCTCTAGTTCTTACCCAGTGTCCTTAACTTTTAAATGTGCATTAGATACTAAATAGTTGTGATATATAGAAGAATCATCTAGTCCACTTCTCGGCCTTTGATGTGTGGTAGAATCACCTAGAAACTTGTTAAAACACTGGTGTTGGACCCTTACTCCCAGCTTCCTGATTCTGTAGGTCTGGAGCAGAGCCTGAGAATTTCACTGGTCTGAAAATGAGAACAGAAACCATAGAAACACATAGGGATTTTCTTTTTTTCTTTTTTTTCTTTTTTCGAGTTTATTATTTGAGAGTGAGAGTGTGTGTGAGCAGGGAAGAGGCAGAGAGAGAGAGGGAGAGAGAGAGAATCCTAAGCAGGCTCCATGCTGTCAGCACAGAGCCCGACACGGGGCTCGAACTCACAAAGTGTGAGATCATAACTTGAGCTGAAACCAAGAGTTGGGCGCTCAACCAACTGAGCCAACCAGGGGCTCTGGGATGATTTTCTCTTTCAAAGAGATAGTATACCAAACAAAATTGCCCTTTAAAAAAATCTTAAGATTACCGAAAAAAAACCCTTTTAGCCTTAAAATAATTTTACAGTGAAGTTGCAAAGGTAGCATCCCATTGTTTCGTCTTATTTACTGTGGTACATTTGTCTATACTTGGAAACTGAGGCTCGTGTATTAATATTAACTAACGTCCAGACTTCATGTGGATTTCACCCGTTTAATCATTAATGTCCTCTTTGTGTTTGAGGATCGGATCTAGGGTGCATTTAGTCATCATGTCTCCTTAGTCTCCTCGGCCCTGTGACCGTTTCCCCTTGTGTTTTGTTTCCACGACCCTCGCATTCGTTAAGAGTACTGGTCACATGTCATGTAGACTCTTCCTCAGTCTGGGTTTTTTTGTGATGTTTTTCTCATGATTAGACCTGGTTGTCCACATTTGGAAGGAAGAGCAGAGAGTGAAGGGCCTGTCACATCACATCACATCCTATCCGTGGGTACACAATGACCACATGACATCACTGGTGATGTTCACCTTCATTGAGTATTGTGGTGGTATTTGCCAGGTTTCTCCAGTGTGATAGTAACTGTACAGTAACTGTTTCCCACTTTCCCTCCCGTACTCTTTAGAAGCTGGTTACTGAGTGTGGCTCACCTTCTAAGTGGGGTGGCAAGGACTAAACTTGATCCTTTAGCTCAAGGAGTATTTGAAAATATTATTTGAAACTCTTCTGTAAGATTTGTCTCTTCCCTATTTATGTATTTATTATATCATCTATTCGCATCAGTTTGAACTCATGATATTTTATTGTACTTTACCACCTTTTTTTCCCATTTACATAAAATAAATTATTCCCCCTCACCCATGGATGTGTGCTTTCATGAAAGGCTGAATATTCAGCTCTTCAGATGCCAGTAAAACTAAGTTAAAACACTGAAAATAAGACAACATAGAAAAAGGGACCATGTGAAATTATCTATTTGGACTTAAAATGATCAGAGTCTACATATTAGAAAAGAAAGTTGCTTTAGCTTTATTATTGGGTTGGCATTTGCCAGGGAAGATAGTCATTTGGTGAGTTGCTTAAATTACTGTTTTTCTGTTGTCTGTCTCTGCTGATTGTTGAGAAATGTTGAAACCATACCTGTAGTAATCAAAATGGCTTATTAACGAGTTCAGTGCTTAAACTCCAGTATGGCCATGCCTCTTTGCCTACAGTTAAATATGGGAATATTAAGCAATTTTGGAGAAATATCGGACTTTAAAAGATAGTTTCTTGCCTTCATAGATATGTGTTATCAATCTGCAGCTAATTATTATCCTTGAAAAAATAAGAGTCTAACAATGATATTAGCATTTGTATTTGTTTAAGGGATGGATTTGTAAACAGTTCTGAGTAAGGCTGATTAAAAATTATTGCTCAGTTTGTTAGTTGTTAGTCTCGGGACTTAATATCTCTGGGGACGGGGGGCAGTTCTGGTATATTTGGAGGCACTTGGGTCTGGAATGCATTGGTCTGGGTGTGAATCCCAGCTCTAATACTGCTGTGCCTTCGCAGGTATATCGCTTGATCCCTTAGAGATTCGTTATTCTCCTAGATAAAATCAGAGTAAAAATGGCAATACCCCCTTACTTGATGCAGTTATTATAAGGATCACATACCAAATGGTAAAGTTTTATACAAATATAAGTGATTGTGATTTTTATTATTGATTAAAGTCTGGCAATGCTGGGACTCAAGTTCTGCGAAAGAGAGTCCCGAGCTGTACCTAGGGATCTTTATTTCTCAGCAGACAAGACAGTAAGTAAGGTGAGCATGCCAGTTCCCGTGGTAGCATGTGGCTTTAACTGTTTCTAGGTTCTTGCACATCTATGTCATAACTAATAATGCGTATCACAGCTCTCAACGACTGTTTTACAGTCATTGAAACTTTCTGAAGTCAGTAACTAACCATTTTAAAATGAAACTTTTTCTCTAGTTGATGAAAGTCATATTGTGGTACAAGCATTGAGGCTTAATACAATGTCAAAGTTTACATTTGCTGATTGCGCACGGTTTGATGCACTGATTAAAGATGTATTTCCTGGGATCGACTTTAAAGAAGTAGAATATGATGAGCTCAGGTCTGCGTTACAGCATGTCTTCGAGGAAGCCAATTATGAAATCATACCAAATCAGGTACCTGTCAATATTTTATAATATGTTGATCCTTTCTTTTGGCTACTTCCTTATTAATAATCTTTATCTTTTATCTGTCCATTTTGTTTTATTGTTTTTAAAAAATTTTTTTAATGTTTCTTTATTTTTGAGACAGAGACAGACAGAGCATGAACAGGGGAGGGGCAGAGAGAGAGGGAGACACAGAATCCAAAGCAGGCTCGGGGCTCCAGGCTCCAGGCTGTCAGCACAGAGCCTCACGCGGGGCTTGAACTCACAGACCGTGAGACTGTGACCTGAGCTGAAGTCGGACGCTCAACTGACTGAGCCACCCAGGCGCCCCTTATCTGTCCATTTTAATCTTGCTAACTCAGGGAAGCCTTCCCTGATCTTTGAGTCCACATTAGGTTTCCTTGCTGAGTATTTTCATTACTTCTTTATGTGTACTTATTAATGCTTAATTGTATGTTTGACTAATACTGATTTTCCCCACCAGATATTAGTGTTCATGGAAGGTGGAATCCATGTCTCTTTTCACTCAGTATTTTACTCCTAGTGCCTGTTACAGAGCCTGGCACATAATAAGTCATTGTTTTAACGTTTGTTTATTTTTGAGAGGCAGAGACTGAGTGCGAGGGGGAGGGGCAGAGAGAGAGGGAGACACAGAATCCGAAGCAGACTCCAGGCTCCAAGCTGTCAGCACAGAGCCTGATATGGGGTTCGAACTCACGAACTGTGATATCATGACCTGACCTGAAGTTGGGCATTTAACTGACTGAGCCACCCGGGTACCCCTACATTTTTTTTTTTTTTAATGTTTATTCAGTTGAGAGAGAGAGAGAGAGAGCGCGAGAGCGCATGAGCAGGGGAGGGGCAGAGAGAGGGAGTGAGAGTGGGACACACAGAATCTGAAGCAGGCTCCGGGCTCCGAACTGTCAGCACAGAGCCCGACGTGGGACTCGAACCCACAAACTGTGAGATTATGACATGAGCTGAAGTTGGATGCTTAACTGACTCACCCACCAGGTGCCCCAGCCTGGCATATAATAGACCATCATGCATATTTTTGATAATTGATTACATTACTTCTGATGTTTTACTTTGATGATTTCTTTTTTTTTTTTTTTTTCAACATTTATTTATTTTTGGGACAGAGAGAGACAGAGCATGAACGGGGGAGGGGCAGAGAGAGAGGGAGACACAGAATCGGAAATAGGCTCCAGGCTCTGAGCCATCAGCCCAGAGCCCGATGTGGGGCTCGAACCCACGGACCGCGAGATCGTGACCTGGCTGAAGTCGGATGCTTAACCGACTGCGCCACCCAGGCGCCCCTACTTTGATGATTTCTTAGGAGAAATTCTTTTTAGTAGCTTTTGTATGTAGCGCAAGTGTGTGTTCAAAATGAACATTTTTCCCTCAGGTTTTATCTCCCTTTTTTTTTTTTTGAGAGATATAGGACATAAATGAATGCATCAGCAAGTGAATAAAATAATGAATATATTTGAATGAATGAGTGAAGAAAATAATGAACATATTGTATTGTCCAATGACTTGGGAAGCATACTTGTTTCTTTTAAAGAAATACTGGATTTAAAGATGACCCTGCAAATGTGTTCAGATTTATTTAGGTGTACTCTTATTTAAGGCTGTATCTTACACTGAAGAAATCAAAGACTTAATTTTATGTGTTTGGAATAGGACAGTTGCTAGAGAGTGAGAACAGGACTGTGCATGATTATGTTCTATTAGCCATATTCAAACATGTCTCCTTTCTACTAGATCAAGAAGGCTTTAGAATTATATGAGCAGTTACGCCAGAGGATGGGAGTGGTCATTGTTGGTCCAAGTGGTGCTGGAAAGTCAACCCTTTGGAGGATGTTAAGGGCAGCACTTTGTAGAATTGGCAGAGTGGTGAAACAGTACACCATGAACCCCAAAGCCATGCCTAGACATCAGCTGTTAGGCCACATTGACATGGACACACGGGAATGGTCGGACGGCGTTTTGACAAACAGCGCTCGCCAAGTCGTTCGGGAACCTCAAGGTTGGTCCGTGTCCTGTGACTCCTTGTTCTACTTCATGATTTTTAGAGGATGATAGAATTGTCTTTACTGCTGTCCCTCTCAAGTCTTACATGTGACCATAAACTGCCTTGTAAACGATGTTGTTTGGTATTTTATTTCAGAGGGACTCAACATGTGCTGTCATGTTGATCTCCACACTATAGGAGCTTCCGTTAGAATAGAAACTCAGAGTAGTCTGGGTGACGTGTGATTCACAACTACATTAATATACTGAAAAAAAAATAAAATCTTTGCTGGGTTGATGCATTACTTAGTGCCTCATAAATAAGCAAGATGACAAATTTTTATTTGGGATTAAAATTGGTTGTGTGTGTGTATGTGAACACTTTTCACTCATTAATTTCAATACAGTGCTTTGAATAATTTTGAAAATTTAAGTCGTAAAACTGTAGACTTCCTGGTCTCAAATGTCTGGCTTGATCTTTAAAAGAATTTTTGGCCAGGGTCTGAGAAGACTCTCCAGTTTTTGTTAGATTGTAATTAACAGTTGTTTTTCTAAGCCCATGAGTGAAACGTTTAGAACTCTGTGACACTAGAAGAGATTTCAGTGAGGTTTTTCATTTTCACTGTAGTTAATAATATCACACTGGGGCAAATCCAGACATTGCCTGTATTTACTTTTCACACTTTCATTGGTGATAGTTTCTTCTTTGACGGTTTCAAATGTCCAAGTTCAAGTTGAAACTGCTCTCAGTTTAGGAAGGATGAATAAAAAAAAAAGGTTTGTCTCTAAAAAGACCTCTGTACACAGCGCTGCTTCTCCCCTTTGAGGTCACCTTTTTATATACCAAAGAAATCAGGTGAGTTTTGTATTTCTCAGGTAGGATGCTAAAAATGGACTTCCTGTATTTTCTACAAGAGATGTGACGTAGCAAGCACTCATACATTCTTAGGACGTGGCGGAAGACAAGGGTGTGGACAATATGTGCCAAGGTCATGGGGCGGGTGATCCCCAAGTCTTGCACACCATCTTGTGTTTAGCGAGATTCCAGTTCTGTGTGTTGGTGGGTGAGTAGAACGTTACCACACGGTACGTAACCAGGTCTCTGGCCACCTGAGCCAGGACTTCCTGTGGGTGTTCAGCCTCCAGGACGTTTGTAGTGCAGATTCACGTGGAAAATATCAGCTTGTTCAACTTGTGCTCCTGGTGTTCTGGCGCAGTAATATAAAATCACACTTCCTGGACATTACTTCTAAAGAAGAAGATAATTATTTTATTGCTTATTTTTAATTGTCATCACTGCACGTATTTGTGTTTTACCTCTTTTTTGTTTGGAAAACAGATGTCAGCTCATGGATAATATGTGACGGCGATATTGACCCTGAATGGATAGAATCTCTGAATTCTGTTCTGGATGACAATCGACTCCTCACTATGCCCAGTGGAGAAAGGATTCAGTTCGGCCCAAATGTTAACTTTGTGTTCGAAACTCATGATTTAAGTTGTGCCTCGCCAGCCACAATATCTAGAATGGGCATGATCTTTCTTAGGTAAACCATAAGGCATTTGCGAGTATTATATTAGGATATTCTTCAGTTATTAGTTTGGTTTCATAGCTAAGTGAAGTAAGTGTTGTATGAATAGTATATAAATATGCATTTTCCTCATTTTTGATTAGCTTCTTTTCTTACTGGGTTTTAATTCATTCAGAGAGTTTCTGTTTTATTGCAGTTAAATTGTTTGAGCAGTTCAGGCATAGTACAGTTATTAAATATTTTTGTTTGCTTAAGTGAAAAAGTAATTGGTTTTGTTTTCTCTTTTTTTTTAAAGTTTATTTCTTAAAGAGACAGAGACGGCATGAATGGGGGGTGGGCAGAGAGAGAGGGAGAGAGAGAGTCCCAAGCGGGCTCTGAACTATCAGCGGGCTCTGAACTACCAACGTGGAGCTCGAACTCATGAAACTACAAGATAATGACCTGAGCTGAAACCAAGTCACATGCTCAACCGACTGAGCCACCCAGGCGCCTTCCCTCCCGTTTTTTAAAAGTATTGTCCCTCTTTTTTTTTTAAAGTTTATTTATTTTGAGAGAGAGTACATGTAGGGGAGGGCCAGAGAGAAAAAGACAGGGAGAGAATCCCCAGCAGGCTCTGTCCTGTCACTGTAGAGGCCGACTTGGGGCTCGAACTCATGACTGTGAAGTCATGATCTGACCTGAAACCAAGAGTTGGATGCCCAACTGAGTGAGCCCCCCAGTTGCCCCACTATTCCTTTGTTTAAATGTTAGAACTAAGTGCAAAGAAGTGAACATACTAGATATGAGCTAGAGGCTAATAATCTAAAACTAAGTAGCAATATTTTTATCATAGATCTTAGATTGATAGAATTTTAGGGCTAACCTAGGATGAATAGGCCCTGTGGTGCAGCCTTTTGTTTCACAACTGGAAACCTCTTCACTTAATGTTTTCTTTCTTCCTCAGCATGTTTGGAAGAGGCTTGAAGAACAAATATGAAGAATAAGCTGATTTTAGAAATCATGTACAGTAGTCGCATATGAGAACATCAACATTGCAGGGAATGGCAAAATATTGAGCCCTTGTCAATTCTAAAATTATTAATCTAGCAGTTGTGTTTGCCATCATTTTTTATAGTTATTTAAGCTATAGTTTTGAATAAGATGTTAGTGTTAAATTTAATTTAATTCATTGGATGTGACATACAGTTAGGTGCTTTGCTAAAAGAATCCTATTTTACTTCGGGAAGATCTTTGAGTTTTAATTAGTGGCATGAGAATTTAGGTAGTTGGCCTTTTTTGGGATAGAGAAGAAGAAAAAATATTTTTAAAGATCTGCATTAAGGTACAGGTGTCCTTGAACTCTGTTGTGTGTTTGAATCACCCAGGAATTTTGTTAGAGTGGAGATTTTGTTCCACTAAGTCTGGGATGGGACTTGGGATTCTCTGTTTCTTTGTTCCTAAGGATTTAGATCAGGTTTTGGCTAACCTGCGTGTATGTAATTCCTCTTTAATTTGTGTTTATAATATTGATGAAATTTATTTGCTTTATTTTACAGAAAATGACATATGTATATACGTATACATATGTGTGTGTGTACATATATCACTAATATACACACACATATACATATAGAAATAATTAAAATCAAGTCTCATATATAAGCAGATACAATACCTGTAGAATAATGTTTATTGGAGCAGGAGTTTATTTTGAAAACACACTGACATTGTCTTCCTAAATAATTTCTTACATGTTTGTTAATCTATTTCAGCGATGAAGAGACAGACGTTAATTCTCTGATAAAATCTTGGTTGAAGAATCAGCCTCCTAGTTATAGGAATAATCTTGAGAGCTGGATTGGAGATTACTTTGAAAAGGCTTTACAGTGGGTTCTGAAGCAGGTAAGCTAGCCGTAATATTTCATAATTAACCATTTAGGCAAGAAGAATAACGATGAAGATGTGATGCTCAGCCAGGATGTGGGGTACAGGGACAGCTAGGCGTCCTCATTGCTCTCCTGCTCATTGTCTTGGCTTTTAACTTTTTACTATAGTAATCTTTTTTTCCCTTCAAATTTTTATTTAACTTCTAGTCAGTTAACATACAGTGTGATATTGGTTTCAGGAGTAGAATTCATGATTCATCACTTAACATCACCCAGGGCTCATCACAGCGAGCGCCCTCCTTAGTCCCCGTCCCTCACCCACCTCCCTCCATCAGCCCTCAATTTATTCTCTCTTGTTAAGAGTCTCTTATGGTCTCTCTCCCTCAAATAAATAAATAAATAAATAAATAAATAAATAAATAAATACCTTAAAGAAATAAAAAAAACAGAGTCTCTTATGGTTTGTTTCCTCCTCTTCTCTCCCCCCTTCCCACATATTCATCTGTTTTGTTTACTAAATTCCACATATGAGTGAAATCATATGATATTTGTCTTTCTCTGTCTTATTTTGTTAGCAGAATACACTAGCTCCATCCACATCATTTCAAATGGCAAGATTTCATTCGTTTTGATGGCTGAGTAATACTCCATTGTGTCTCTGTGTATGTGTGTGTGTGTGTGTGTGTGTATACACACCACATCTTCTTTATCCATTCATCTGTCCATGGAGAAATGGGCTCTTTACATAATTTGGCTACTGTTGATAGTGCTGCTATAAACATTGGGGTACATGTACCCCACTGAATCAGTATTTTTGTATCCTTTGTGTAAATACCCAGTAGTGCAATTGCTGGGTCATAGGGTAGTTCTATTTTTAATTTTTTGAGGAACTTCCATACTTCTTTCCAGAGTGGCTGCACCAGTTTGCATTCCCACCAGCAGTGCAAGAGAGATCCTCTTTCTCTGCATGTTCGCCAACATCTATTGTTGCCTGAGTTGTTAACGTTAGCCGTTCTGACAGGTGTGAGGTGGTATCTCATTGTGGTTTTGATTTGTATTTCCTGTATGATGAGTGATGTTGAGCATTTTTTCATGTGTCAGTTGGTGATCTGGATGTCTTCTTTGGAGAAGTGTCTATTCGTGTCTTTTGCCCATTTCTTCACTGGATTATTTGTTTTTTGGGTGTTGAGTTTGATAAGTTCTGTATAGATTTTGGATACTAACCGTGTATCAGATACGTCGTTTGCAAATATCTTCTCCCATTCTGTAGGCTGCCTTATAGTTTTGCTGACTGTTTCCTTCACTGTATAGAAGTTTTTTATCTTGATGACGTCCCAATAGTTCATGTTTGCTTTTGTTTCCCTTGCCTCCAGAGTCATGTTAAGTAAGAACTTGCTGAGGCCAACGTCAGAGAGGTTTTCCTTCATCCATTTTGAGTTTATTTTTGTGTATGGTGTAAGAAAGTGGTCCAGGTTCATTCTTCTGCATGTCGCTGTCCAGTTTTCCGAGCACCACTTGCTGAAGAGACTGTCTTTATTCTGTTGGGTATTCTTTCCTGCTTTGTCAAAGATTAGTTGGACATACTGTTGTGGGTCCATTTCGGGTTCTCTATTCTGTTCCATTGATCTCACGGTCTGTTCTTGTGCCAGTACTGTACTTTCTTGATGATTACAGCTTTGTAGTATAGCTTGAAGTCTGGGATTGTGATACCTCCTGCTTTGGTTTTCTTTTTCAAGATCGCTTTGGGTATTCGGGGTCTTTTCTGGTTCCATATAGATTTTAGGATTGTTTGTTCTAGCTCTGTGAAGAATGCAGGTGTTATTTTGTTAGGGATTGCACTGAATGTGTAGATTGCTTTGGATAGTGTAGACATTTTAACAATATTTGTACTTCCTATCCATGAGCATGGAATGTTTTCCCATTTCTTTGTGTCCTCTTCAACTTCTCTCATAAGTGTTCTGTAGTTTTCAGAGTACAGATCTTCTACCTCTTTGGATAGGTTTGTTCCTAGATATCTTATGGTTTTTGGTGCAGTTGCAAATGGGATCAATTCCTTGGTTATTTTATTGATTTATTTTTTTTTGCTGCTTCATTATTAGTGTATAAAAATGCAACTGGTTTCTGTATGTTGATTTTATATCCTGAAATTTTGTTGAGTTCATGTATTCTAGCAATTGTTTTTTTGTGGAGTCTTTTGGGTTTTCTACGTAGAGTATCATGTCATCTACAAATAGTGAAAGTTTGACTTCTTTGGCGATTTGGATGCCTTGTTGTTGTTGTTGTTGTCTAATTGCTGAGGCTAGGACTTCCAGTAGTATGGTAGATTGTAACTGTGGGAGTGGACATCCTTGTCTTGTTCCTGACAATGGCTCTCACTTTTTCCCCATTGAAGATGATACAAGCTGTGGGTCTTTCACATATGGCCTTTATGATGTTGATATATGTCCCATCTATCCCTACATTGTTGAGGGTTTTTATCAAAAAAAGATGCTATATTTTGTCAAATGCTTTTTCTGCATCTATTGACAGGATCATATGGTTTTCATCAATCCTTTATTGTGGTATAGCACGTTGATTGATTTGCAAATATTGAACCACCCCAGCAGCCCAGGAATAGATCACACTTGACCATGGTGAATAATTTATTTAATCTGTTGGATTTGATTTGCTAGTATCTTGTTGAGAATTTGTTATGGTAGTCTTAAGACACTTTAATTCTCTGACCTACACTATCTTGAACTGCTTACCTAAAAATCTTGAATAGTGGAATCTCTCATGTTTCTAGTAAAACCATCTTGCTGTTACATTTCACTGTCAATAAGTACCAGCATATATTTCATGCTAAAAACTATGTCAAGTTAATACTACAGTAGAAAAAGGGTGATGAGTTATTTACAATGTTATTAAAAACATCTGTTTATTCAAAAAATTAATAGGTATCTAGTATACGTATCAAGCATAGGACTAGATAAGACTTTAAGAGGTGGACATTAATCGGACAGTCTGTTTCCTTGGGGAGGGATTTGCCTAATGGAGAAAAATGAGATTTAGAAAAATAAACAGGATGAAAAGAGTGTTACCATCCTCCAGAAGAGTTCAAAAAGTTGACAACACTTAGTTCTGAATTTGAAGCATGAATAGAAGTTTGACGTGCACAGAAGACAATGTAGGGCTTTCCGATATTCTATACGATTTTTTCAGTTTTTTTTTTTTGTATGTCATTGTTTCTATGAAAAATGTAAACATATAAAAAAGTAGAGGAAATAGGTAGCATTGAAAGTACTTTTTGAAAGTATCTGATTGTTAACCTGAAGTTGACTTAGTAGTCATTGTAGAAGATTGTAGAATGACAGAGAAGTGGAGATCTCACTTGAGTTTTCTCACGGTGTCTCTTTCCTGTCTGTAAGGATGAGATGGAGGGATAGGGATTTGTGAGGAGAAGACGCACATGAATGGGTTCCTGGAGGCCTCGGGGAGAGGACCATTCCTTCCAGCCCTCAGTCTGACAGATCGGTCTCCTCCTTGCTAGTATAACTGCGTGCATTCAACTCCAAGCCCCTTGGAGGGCAGGACCACATTTTATTGTATCCCCAGAACCAAGTACCGTCATGGAGTAATGAATGAATGAGAGTTTATGTACTGCCTTAAATACCTGCTGCCTCCCTTGTAGCAACTTTTCAGCAGATATGTTATTTCATTCATATAGAATATACAGAGCCTAATAAGGCTCTCTAGGACAAATACTTTGAGGTCATCCACTTGTATGCTGTTGATGTTAGAAACAGAAATAGAACACTGGATGGGACAGATTGGTACGTAGGGGTTTTGTGGCTATAGATACAATGACCAGATAAGATGGTCAAGCCATAGAGTGGATATACCAAAGATTCAGTTAGAAAATAAACTGATTGTTTTGAGGTCAGGTCCCTGTTACAGTTTGAAATTTTTTTTATGTGTTGAGACTTCCTTCCTTCTTATTTTGTACTTTGTTCACTGTGTTCATGTTCTGAGAGCTAGACTGTCATGAATATTCCAACCAAATGCTGATTTGATTTTAACTAGAGTTTTTCTTTCTTCTATTAATTCAGCAAATTAGACAATGCAGAAATAAATATATTGCCTTTAAAGTGTAGAACTCTTAGTATGGCTGAGGCAGCTGGATTTCTCCTCATCTTTTCCTTTTTCCTGGTCTTCCTCCCATTTATACAATCTTGTAGAAACATTTCTTTTGCAGGCAGAGTGATCTTGAAAAAAATGCAAATTGTATCTTTTTACCCTCTTATTTAAAACACCTTATAAGTAGTGAAAATAAAATTTGCACCCTTTCCATGGCCTGTGCACTTGTGTATATTCTGGCCCTTGCTCATCCCTTTGACTTCAGCTTACTCTCCTTTGCTTAGTCAGGCATAAGCTGCTTTTAATTTCTTACCCACACTGGTGGCTTACATTTGCATATGCTGCCCTCTCTGCATGCCCTGCGGATCTCATCCTTCAGGTGTCAGTTTCACTGTCCCCTTTTACAAAGAGGCTTAAGCTCTCTGAGTTACTCTCTTCTCCTCTGTAGCCTTTTTTTTTTTTTTAACCGATAATTTTTTTTAGCGTTTATTTTTGAGAGTGAGGGAGAGAGAGGGGGGGAAAGAGAGAGCGCAAGAGAGCACATGGGTATGCGCGCGCAAGCGGGAGAGGGGGTGGTGGTTAAGAGAGAAGAAAACACAGACTCCAAAGCAGGCTCCAGGCTCTGAACTATCAGCACAGAGCCCAACGCGGGGCTCGAACCCATGCACCATGAGATCATGACCTGAGCTGAAGTTGGACACTCAACCAACTGAGCCACCCAGGCGCCTTGCTCCTCTGTAGCTTTTACCATAAGTTGTTGACCATGTTCTCTACTGGACTTGAGTGACAGGAACATAAGTTCTCTGTGAAATTCACCTTTTTTTTTTTTTTTTTTTTAAAGAAAACACCTAGCACCACATGGACATCCTAATGCATAATTGGGTCTCAGTAAATACTTAGAGATTGAATGAGTGAGAACCTTTACCCCTTTTAACCTCTGGCAGTTACACAGGGGTCCCAGGGGCCCACAGATCAAAGTCATGTACACACTGCACCCCAAAGTTTCATTTTAAAAGTCTGTGTAAAGAGCTAACTTCAGATGTTTTTTTGTGTTAAGTTCACTTTTACGAGCCTTTAATGTCCAGGGTCCTTGATCGAGCCCTTGCCTCTAGCTTCCTCTTTATCAGGAAGAGATTATGAGGGACTGTTATTTTCAGACCAGTGATGTACTTTTATATTCTTCAGACTTAGGAAGTAAAGTATATATCTAGTTAAGGACTCTAGCACTTGAAGCTAGAAATAGACAATTGCATTTTTATGATTACATCTTAATTTCAAAATTTATATGTATAAACTGAATCAAATGTAAACTTTCTACACCTTGAATGGAGGGATGTATTTAAAGATCATAATTGAAAAGATGTGTGAATGTAAATCTCTGGGTTTCCATGATAATATTTGTTTTTTGTCTGTCCATGGATTTTAATCAACAGAATGACTATGTGGTTGAAACCAGTTTGGTTGGGACTGTGATGAATGGTTTGTCACATCTTCGTGGATGCAAAAATCATGAGCAGTTTGTTATTAGTCTCATACGGGGGCTTGGTGGAAACCTGAACATGAAATCCCGCCTGGAGTTCACCAAAGAGGTGATGCATATTTAACACATGTGTTCAGTCAGTGTTTTCTTTAATTTTCATCGACTCCTACTTGTCAAAATATAGTGATTTGTAGCTGTACTAAGCCTATTACTTTTGAAATGAAGCATTCAATAGAATGATAATGCATTTATCGATATGTACATATAAACATATATACTTACTTTCTCCTTTGAACTAGTTTATGATATTTTATGATTTTATTAAAATTTTATAAAGTAATGTTTTAACAGGCTGTAGTTTGGACCATATCTTTATTGTTAGACATGTTTGAGGCTACTTAGCCATATGACTAAATATAATTATTTAAATCATTTTTAATTGTAGAATAATACATATTTTTAACCATGTGCTGAACCAGAACAGTTTTGGCAGTTAAAAATGCCAGGATGGATTCAGCATATTTTCCTTAATAAATTTAAAGGTATATTTCAGAGCCACTGTCCTCCTCTCCCTCTGCCCCTTCCCCACTCACACTCTCTATTTCTCAAAAATAAACATAAAAAAAACCCACGTCATTTAAAAGTTGAATGTATTTATATCTTGGTGTATGTGCAGACTAGATGACTTATATTTTTTGCCTCAGTGATGATTTAGAGAAGAATAATTGACATAAAATGTTATCTTAATTATCAAAGATATTTGGTAGCAAATTTTTGTTGTTAAACTAAGATGACTGACTTTGGGACATTTACTTTGAAGAACTAAAATTTCACATACTCGTGGAGTTGGAGTATCTATCACAACTTTTTCCTCTTAAGGTTTTTACTTGGGCACGAGAGTCTCCTCCAGACCCTCACAAACCGATGGATACCTACTATGACTCAGGTCGGGGGCGACTAGCATCTTATGTGCTGAAGAAGCCGGAAAACTTGACTGCCGATGATTTCAGCAACAGCCAAACTCTCCCCGTCATTCAGATTCCTGACATGCAGCGAGGCCTGGATTATTTCAAACCCTGGTTAAGTTCTGATACTAAACAGCCATTTATTCTTGTAGGACCAGAAGGATGTGGCAAAGGGTAAGAGCAGAAAAATGTTGACTGAAGTGCATATTGTGGATTTGTACTCCTCTCCTCACGTGAAATCGTTTCACAGCCCTGTTACCTTTCTTTTGGTTAAAGTAGCATTTACATTTTCATGGAGGACTCTTTCCATTGTCACTACTTGTAGAAATAATACGACTTTAGATTAGATTAGAGAAGAATATATCTTTTTTTTCCTGCCAGGTTATGTGTTTTCTAGGGGAAAGAGAACGATCTGGGAAGATAGTCTTCAAAAGAAAATGAGTGTACAATCACCACAAAAACTGAACCCCTTCGATATATTTACACATTATTATTTACTTTAGTTATAAAAAATGAATCTGGGGCGCCTGGGTGGCGCAGTCGGTTAAGCGTCCGACTTCAGCCAGGTCACGATCTCGCGGTCCGTGAGTTCGAGCCCCGCGTCGGGCTCTGGGCTGATGGCTCGGAGCCTGGAGCCTGTTTCCGATTCTGTGTCTCCCTCTCTCTCTGCCCCTCCCCCGTTCATGCTCTGTCTCTCTCTGTCCCAAAAATAATAAATAAATGTTAAAAAAAAAAAAATGAATCTTGAAGTTAGCTTTCTACTTAAAAATAGCTTTTATATCAGTGTAATTCAGCTGTTTTTCGTGTCTACTGAGTGTAGTTTCTGAAAGGAAAAGAGACATGGCTTATTAGGTTCACATTTTTAGTAGGAATTTAAAAATTCTATAAAATCGTTGTACTTTTTTTTTTTTTTAACTCTTCAACTATAGGGAACCAGTTGGTATTTTTTGTATATACTTTATCAAATTAAATTATTTCTGTAAACTTTGTTTTTGCTGAAGGAGTTTCAAGGGTGCTTTAACATACAAATGTATTTTTTTATATTGTAAAAATTAGAAAGTTGCCTGTTTGTTAAGCCACATCCGTGTTTACCACTTTCCCTGTAAACATCATCACATATAATTTAGAAACTGCAATATTTATAAAAAGAGGAATTTTATGTGGAATATAAGCGGCATGTTATATTTGAGCACGTTCAACACACAAAGGCAAATGTCCTTCCTCTCCCAGGATGCTGCTGAGACACGCCTTTTCCCAGCTCCGGTCCACTCAGATCACCACGGTTCACTGTAGCGCACAGACCACGCCTCGACACCTCCTGCAGAAGCTGAGCCAGACTTGCCTGGTGATCAGTACCAACACCGGTCGAGTGTATAGACCGAAAGACTGCGAAAGACTTGTTTTGTACTTGAAAGATCTCAACCTGCCCAAGCTGGATAAGTGGGGGACCAGTGCTTTGGTTGCTTTCCTACAACAGGTGGGTCTTATTGCTTGAATGTTAGGATATAACTGGAAACAACTTAATTTCATTACCTTTCCTTAGAAAACCCGCTTTCCTCCTCAGGGCCGGTTTTGTCCAGTATGTTAATGGAAACTCAACCCCTGACGCATGTAGCGATCTTGTTCCAGGGCCGTCTTTTTTCTTTTTAAAGTTTTTATTTTTAAGTAATATCTCCACCCAACGCAGGGCTTGAACTCACGACCTGAGATCAAGAGTCTCGTGCTGCACCAACTGAGCCAGCCAGGCGCCCCTAGAAAGCTACTTTCTTCGACCTTCTTCCTTGTAAAAGTTAGTATTACGTGGAGGTGATACATGACAGGAAGAGTGAAAACAGCCTTGCCCTATGCTTATTACCTGTCCTTTATTCCTAAATAGCAGGGAAGCAGAAGCTGGGGTGGATGTGGGATTTAGGGGGAGTTGTGGCTTCATTTTTCTCGTAATTCCTTCTTCAGAGAACAGGTAGACTCGTGCCCCTCTCTGGCTTCTTCAGCTCATGGCTCTCTGTCTTTACCTGTGGAATGGCAAAGGTTGGAGACCATATGTTCTGTCAGTGTGGTTTCCATCACATTAGAAGCCCTAAGGTCTACATTAGAGTTTATTCTGTTTCTGTGGGTTCAAATTTAGCTTTACTATGTAACCGTAGAATATGATACAAAATTTATAGAAGAAAACCAAAATATTTTCCTTATGTTTTTCCTGATTTCTTTTACTTTTTTCCCGATAATTGCTGGTAGATTTATAGTGTCATCTGGTTTTTAATGTTTATTAGAAAAAACATTTTTAAAATGAGGCTCATTCAGCTAACATTAATTGAATACCTAGTCTTCAAGAGTATTATTCTTCAAGCTTAAATTCTTGAGTTGGATAGAGGATGATGGCTGCATTTGGAAACACTTGAATTTCGTGCAAAAATATTTTCTATCAGAATTAGAAAAATCCTAAGCATAAAACATTTAAAATACATTTATTTTCAAATAGGTATTGACATATCAAGGATTTTATGATGAAAATTTGGAATGGGTTGGTTTAGAAAATATTCACATTGTGGCTTCCATGTCAGCTGGAGGAAGACTGGGAAGACATAAGCTTACCACCCGATTTACTTCTATTGTCCGTCTCTGTGCTGTGGAGTATGTATCTCTGTGTTTTTCATTGTTTTTCCTTTGGGGAGCTGTCTTATATATTTGAATTTTATTGAAGGTATCCATTAATGATATTTCCTCAAAATGAAGAATATAAAAATACTCAGAACTTAAGTTCTGATATTTTTTTCCCTGTCCTTCCTAAACTGAAGGTGTTAATCAGCTCTTCGTAAATATTAGAAATAAAACACAACTGTTTTGTATCATTTCTGTTCTAAAATATCATATCAGTGTTAGGAATTTGAATGGTCGATTTTAGAATTAAATATTTTACAGGTTTCATAAAACAAAAGCAGTACCCATTTTATGCAGAGTGCACGAGGTGGAGTCGGTCACGTTCGCCGTGGCAGCATTAACCCTGACGCGTGCATCCAGTGCCACGGCCCATCGTTGTCCCAGGGACTTGCGGGCTGTATGGTTATAGCACTTGTCCTGTGTTCCATTGGGCCTACACAATCTTATTTTCATGCTAATTGAAACTATAACCATCTATAACATTCTACTTTCAGAAGTGTTAAAGCCATCAGTTAAGCTGTAATGAAATAGATTTCGGTTTGAGAGAAACAAGTTGATTTCATTTGTGTGAATAGTTCTACTTTTATGGTTCTGAGATGGATTAGTGCTCTATGGGTAGGCTCTACTCGACTCAAAATACTTTTTTTCTTGAGAAAAATATACCTTTTTGTCTTTTCTAAAGATCATGGTTTTCAAATAATTGTGTTTCTAAGTAATTTCACTGGGATCTTCTGGTAGGACCCTCTGTTTCACAGCAGATACGTAGAGAGGTCTAATGTGGTTGAAGTCAGAGTAGGGACCATGAGCCTATCCTTAGTCCCCGGGGAAACCTCTGGTGTCTAAATCTCAGGGCAGCACATTGGGAAAACCACTGCTGTAAGTGAACATTAAAATAATTTAGAACGTTGATTCTTCTAAAATAATTTTCTGATATGTCCTTTTTCAGTTACCCAGAAAGAGAGCAATTACAGACAATCTATGGAGCATATTTGGAACCAGTTCTATATAAAAATCTGAAGAATCATCCTATTTGGGGTTCTTCATCAAAAATCTATCTCTTAGCAGGGTCTATGGTACAAGTGTATGAACAGGTATATATATTCATTTATGTTGTTCTTACCGTGTCTATTGGTTCCCGTCCCAAAGGACTGCCTTTAGTGCTGGCTTATGTCGACACTTCAGCTTTCTTTCCCTCTTCTTTACTAGACTTTTCTACTTGGGGAGTGGGCTCTGTGAGGGCATGTGCTCTGTGTGCTTTCTTCACTATTGACTACCCTGGCATGGTTTCTAACAGACAGTCAGTATTGAATGAATGGATCACTGGTAGATGGTTGGTTATTCTGTTACCTGCTAAAATTTAGCATGTTCAGAATGTTCTTCTTCTTTCCCAAACTACATCTTTCTCCTGACTTCCATCAGTTTCTGTCCTCTAGGCTTCAAACCCGGAGTAGTCTTTGAGGTTTCTTTCTTTCTTGTTGCCTGTGAGGAAATGTCTCAAGTGTGTTTCCTCGGCAAAGTGGGGACAGTGCTAAAAACAGGCGTTGCGGATGCAGAAGACGTCTGTTGAGTACCTCCTTTTCTAGCACTGGTCCTAAGGGTGCAGAGATGACGGAGTCTCTGTTCTCTGGAAGCTCACAGACCAGTGAGGGGCCCAGTCACGTACGTGAACTATTAATACAGTGTGATGAATGTAACAGTGACAACATGCGCAAGTTGCAGAGACAGTGTAGAAGAAGTGAGTAACTTTGTTGTGCGTGGTAGTTGTTAAGGAGAGCGGAAGTGTGATGTGAGTTTTGAAAAGTGAACAGAAATTCAACGTGGCTGGAGAGGAAGGATCTTCCTAGGAAAAGGGACCGGTGTGTGAAAGTCAGGTTGGTATGTGTGGAAGGTGCCCCGTGTAGTTTGGAGTAGAAGTGGGGAAGTAGAGTCAGCGAGCAAGGGTTCCTTCGTTTCGATTTTGAGTGAATGGAGATGTTACGTGACCAAGGCCACAATGAGAGCAGTGGCTCTGTGGGTGGGGGAGGGAACGCACCGGTCCCGGCAGGTTGTGCATCAGGCAGTGACACTGTGGTCCCTTAGAAGTTCAGTGACTCTGTGAGCAGAAGGCAGCTCTGGAGTTCCCAATGCCGGGAGCTGTGTTTTCCGGGACCTGCGGGGCTGTGGCATCGCAGCCCCTGTGCAGAAAGCTTAGGTTTGCCTTCCTCAGGCTCCTTTCCTTGGCATGGTTCTTTACCTCTCATGTTATTTTTTCTGTGGTCAGCCTTTGCAGTTTGCTGAAGCCTTTGAACAGCCCCTGTTGGATGTTTTTAAATGCATAAAATATTAAGATAACTACGGAAATCAGTTCTATTGAAATACAGTTTCTACTGACTAGTACAAATTGGGCATTCCTGTGAGTCTACGGTGACTGAAAAGCTTATAGCATTATTACATATTTGGAAATATATTACAAATACTTACATATTACATATTTAGACAGCAGACAGATGGTTTACTGCACTGTCTTTTCCAGGTACGGGCCAGATTTACAGTTGATGATTATAGTCACTATTTGTTTACTCCGTGCATCCTTACCCAGTGGGTTCTTGGCTTATTCAGATACGATTTAGAAGGAGGTAAGGTTTTCTTTCATTATTTTAAATCACTTACCTTTCTCTGGAATGCCACAGCGTATCTGTGTGTGCGCACGTGTGTGTTTATGTTATGTACTGTGTTTGTAATAGGTATGTTAAATGAGTATTTAATTGATGACAGTATTCTAAAAATTACAATTAAAATTATGTTAATATTAAATTTAAATATTAACATTCAATTTAAACCTTAATATTGAAATATAACATCGTGGCTTTTCTTCTAAACTTTATGATCGTCACTGTTAAAATTTGATTTGGGAAAAATAAAATCATTATTCGTGTTTGATACTCTTTTTAGAATTAGTATTTTTATTGAACTAGGGATAATGATGCTTACTGTATTTTATAAATGATCAAAACAACTTTACCAACTTATTAACACATTGAATTTTAATTTTTTCCCCTTTTCTTCTTTGTATCTGACGCCAACGTGACGGTATGCAGATTCTCATTCTTTATTTCTTTCTAATACTGTGTTGAAACAGACTATTTGCAGGTCATTTGAACTTTCTTAGAACTAAAGAAAATGTTCTCTTTTTTAGGGTCCTCAAACCATCCACTAGATTATGTGTTAGAAATCGTAGCGTATGAAGCACGGCGCTTATTTCGTGACAAAATTGTTGGTGCAAAGGAACTTCATTTATTTGACAGCATTTTAACATCAGTGTTTCAAGGAGATTGGGGCTCAGATATATTAGATAATATGGCAGGTAATCTTTGTGGAGTTTATGTGAATATATAAATGTTTTGAGAACCGTACCCTTATTTTTCTTACTAATAGCATGATTTCATATACTATACAAGTGAAAAGTTTGGATAATTTTAATGTTTTTTTTACTATAAGCAAATGCTCTTTTCCTTTTTGCTAGATTTCAATAATCATATGCTAAATAAAATATAATGACAATAATTGTTTTCTTGGATTTAGCCATAGTGTTTTATATTTTTAATTCAGAATTCTATTTCCTGAAGGATTTTTACTGGCAAATGTTTTTCTCAAGCCATATGTGTAGGAAACTTTGAGACCATTGGGAAAATCCGTATTTTGATTATAGTTAAGCCTTGCATTCTCCTGGCTGTCACTGCTCACGACATCGTCAGCATAGAGCTTCTCTCAGGCTCTGGTTACTGGCTTCGCCCCTGGTAGGACAGGCTGCGTGTAACGCCACTCCCCGCCGGCAGCCCAGTTGCTTTGGCATCTGTTACCGCTTAATCACCAGGCTGCGCTCTGAAGATTGCTCAGGGGGTGGTTTGTGTGATTGGAAAGCCATCACAGCGAAAGGGCTTTTGGTACCGTAACGTGGAGACCGTAACATGGAAGTATTTCCCAATAAACCCCTTTCAAGCTGCAAAATGAGTTTCTATCCCGTTAGACTGTCTCATGTAGTACGTTCTACATCTATGTTACCAGATTTGACTGGTCCCAGGGTCATGGTTGCATACAGCCAAAGGGGATCTGGACTGTTAGGAAGATGTTGAGCCTGACAGAGGGAATTTTCTTGGAGCTGCTAGAGTTTCAGAATCAGGAAGTGAGTTGGAGAAGCGAGGCAGGTGGGCATGCCTGATGGTAGTTGGAAGTTGGCTTGATTTTGAGTGTGGGTTTGTCAGGGCTTCCTGGAGTTCTCATTGTGTGGCGTGGAGAGCTTTGTTTTCTAACCGGTGCGGTCTTTCTCAGTCTGAGAATTGGGTGTGTAGTGTCTCTTCTTGCAGAGAAAGGAGCATGTCCTTTGGGCCTTAGATAGTGTCAGTGTCTTATTGGGTATTTGAATTCTCTAGCGTTTGTTATCTTTCAGAGCCTCCTTTGTAGGACTCAGTAAATAATATATGCTTTTTTTCCCTTACCATTTTACTTTTCAAGGAAAGATTGCATTTTTTAAAAAGTATAGCCTTGATATATGTTCTGTGTAGGCAAATAAGATTTTCACATAGTGGAGTATTAAGAAAAATTTAATCTTGGAGAGTTAAAAATAAATGAGATACATTCCTGTGCTCAAGAAACGTGTAATCTAGTGGTAGATGCAGATGTGAAAGTCTTTGTTTGCAATGGTAGCTATTGATAGTGTGTTTAGACGCCATGAAAATTTGTGCAAGTAGTTAAACTGTTAATTATAATAGAGAATGAAGTGTTGTACGATTACTCTAACTTTTCTGAATATATTTGGGATAAATGCTAGATGGTAGATATGTAGAAGAGGTAGAGACTAATTCTTTTTTGAGGGAGCTACTTTCAAGCTTTTTAAAATGAATTTTTTTGGGACGTCTGGGAGGCTCAGCCTGTTGGGTGTCTGACTGTTGATCTTGGCTCAGGTCACAATCTCATGATTCATGGGCTTGAGCCTGGAGTTGGGCTCTGCACTGACAGTGCGGAGCCTGCTTGGGATTCTCTCTACGTCTCTCTCTGCCTCTCTCTGCTCCTGCCCTGCCGGTGTGCTCTCTTTATCCCTGTCTCTCTCAAACAAAACAAACTTAAAAAGAAAAGAATTTTTTATCTTGTGATCATCATAGATTAACCTACAGTTGTAAGAATTTACACAGACCGAGCACACGTGCCTTCTACGTGGTCTCTCCATGGTAACAGCTGGCAGAATTACAGTAGAACGTCTCGGACAGGGTGTTGGCATCGCTCTAGTTTTATACAGAATATCACCACAGAGATCTGTCGTGTCGCCCTTTTGTGGCCACATCTGCTGCTCTGCAAACCACCCTTCTGTTCTGTGTTTAATTTTGCCGTTTCTTACTTTCGATCAGAATAATTCTCTGCAGACCCGTGTGGGTGGCTTGGGGTTTCAGTGGTTTGTTCCTTCTTAGTGCTGAGTAGGTGTTCAGGTACACTTCCATTTCCCAAACGCTTTACTTGTTGAAGGCCATCTGGGTTATGTTCGGTGTGTGTTAGACCGTTAGGAGGAAGGTGCTAGAACAACTCATGTAGGGATTTTTACGTGAAAATACATTGTTTGTCTGCGATAAATGGTCATCCGTGCACTTGTGGGAGCGTCCAGTGCTTCTGTGCTCGGTGTTTGAAAACCACCGCCGACTCTTTCCTACAATGGCTGTGCCACTTCCCATCCCCATCAGCAGTATGGACGTAAGCCAGGTGCTGCACATCCTCGCCAGCGTTTGGGGTTGTCTCCACTGTCCTCCAGTCAGCCGTCTGGTAGCGTGTCTGGGTGTGTCATCGCAGTCTGTGCTCTGCCAGCCGCCACTGCAGCTGGACGTCTTCTCGGGCTCCTTCGCCGCCTCTGTATCCTTTCAAGTGACATATTTCTGTGTGCGTCTTACTCACTTTCTCTTGGGATGGTTTATCTTTATTGTTGAGTTTTGAGCGTTCTTTGTATATTACAGACACTAGCTTTTCGTTAAATACATGGTTTGCAAACACACTCTCCCCCACTGTCACTTGTCTTTTCATCCTTTTAACAGGGTCTCCCACAGCTAAGTATTTTAATTTTACGAAGCACAACTTACTATTTTTTTAATGGTTATTTATTTTGAGAGAGAGACGGTGTGAGCAAGGGAGGAGCAGAGAGAGAGATGGAGACAGAGAATCCCAAGCAGGCTCCGAGCTGTCAGCACAGAGCCCAATGCGGGGCTCGAACTCAGGGAACTGTAAGATTGTAATCTGAGCCAAAACCAAGAGTCGGACACTTAACCGACTGAGTCACCCAGGCACCCTGTCTTTTTAATTTTTTTTAAGGATCTTTTGGTGTCAAGTTTAAGAATTCCAACTGGTCCTATATCCTGAAGACTTTCTCCTACATTTTTTTCCTAAAAGTTTTACGGTTTTGTTTTAAGTCAGTGGTCCGCTCTGAGTTAATTTCTGTATAAAGAGTGAGACGGGGTCACTTTACTTGCTGATGGATGCCCACCTGCTCCAGGGCCATTGTTTGAAAAGGGAACTTTGCTCCCTCGACTTGGTTTTGCCCCTTTGTCCAAAACGGGTTTGTGTGACTATATTTCTAGGTTCTCTGTTTTTTTCCATCGATTTTATGTCTGTCCTTCCACCAGGACCCCGCTGTCTTGATTCCTGTCAAATAATAAATCTTGAAATTGGGATGACTCACTTCTACTTTCTTGTTCTTTTTTGGAGTTGTTGTAGCTATTTAAGTTCCTTTGACTTTCTAGATCTATTTTACGGTAACCTTACCTATAAATATGGTTGCTAAGCTTTTGATAGGAATTGCATTAACTCTGTGTATTGGTTTGGGGAGGATTGACACCTTCATTATGTTGAGTCTTCCTTTCCGTGAACATGATTTATCTGTCTGTTTATTTGGATGTTCTGTGTTTTCTTTCCTCAGTGTCGTCTAGTTTTCACCATGTAAGTGTCGTACGTACCTTGTTAGATTAACACCTACGGTTGTACAGTTTTTGAGCACTGCAGACGGTGACAGTGTGTGAGGATGATTCTACTGAGTGAGGTGGAGGGAAGGGCATTCCAGACACGGGACAAGCATATGCGTAGAATCACCGGCTAAGGGAACTGGAGTGTGCAGTGGGATGCGGATGCAGACTGGGGGTGCAGGTGGCCAGTGGAGGCAGGTTAGATGCAGATGAGGAGTTGGGCTGTTTGTCCTCAGGCGGTGGGGAGCTCTGTGCCGGTGGAGTGCTGGGGCACAGCCCGCCTGCCGCCTGTCGTGTGCTTCTCTGGGAGTGGCGAGGGTGTAGCCAGAGGGACAGAGGCTCGAGGCAGGGATCTGAGCCGGGTGAGGCACGATGACACATGGAGACGATGAGTTCAGTTTTCTGTGTTTCAGGTGTGCAGGTGTCTTGAGTGTCTTTGGGGGCATCCTCGTAAGGTTTGTCAGGTCTGGGAGGGTAGGGTAGCGGCCGTGTCTTTCTGTCTCCTTCTCTCCAGCAGGGTTCTCCCTGCAGAGAAGTGCAGGGTTGAAACTCAGGTGTGCCGTAGGCAAGCCTGTCAGGCATGTCTGGAACACCTGGAAGTTTGGGAGCACACGAGAGCTTGGGACACTTGCCCGGAGAGAGGTGGTGAGTAGGTTTGGGCCTAGAGGCCGTCGCTGGTTCAAGGCACAGAGCAACATGGAGTAATTCAAGGGGGGTGGTTAGGATTCAAGAAGAGCAGGCTGAGTTTGGATCCCAGGGGAGGTGAAAGTAAACGGGATAGGCAGGAGACTGAGGACACGTGGCCGGGGCCTGATGAGCGCGGGTGTCCAGGGGCAAGGGACACGCTCCGGGAGCCCAGCGGGTGATGAGGGCGCCTTGACCACGATGGAGGTGTGGTCTGGCGGTCCTGGCGGGGTTTCCCAAGGCGGGGCTGTCGTGCGGTGCGTCCACAGCTGACAGACGAGGCAAGAGAAAGGAGAGAAGCTCAAAGAAGCTGGGGTCCCGGATCTTACGGCCTCGGGGCCCAGCCTGCGCCGGCGAGGGTCTGTGCCCACACGCGTCGGGAGGGGAGAGGTGTGCAGACTTTCCTGTGTGCTCATGGGGGCGCCCCTGTGAGGGCTTTCAGGGGGAGTTTCTGGGGGGTTTGTTTGCTACTTAAAATTCAGCGAATTTTTCTTTGAGAATTAGGGCTGTTGATGGTAGTAATAAATTTGTGTTCTTGCACACGGAGAGTTTTGAGTTTGTTTTATATGCCAATTTTATATGTTTTAATCTACAATTTATATGGACATTCTGGAGAAGGAGAAGGGAAAAGGGAGAAATGGTGGAAGTGAGAACCCTAGGGGAGCATTAGGAGGAAGATGTTTCATTTGGGGAAGAAGTGGGGTCGGAGATAGAACAGGGACACCATCAGTTCCTTTTCAGTAGTAGTTTGATAGTGCAGTGAGGTGTGGGTGCTGTAACTGAGTTTATGAACTATGCTGTATAGGAATTTACCTTTGTGTTTCTGGGGATCGTCTTACTTGGGCTGATGAACTTTTCAAGTTTAGTGAGCGGGGTGCACGGGTGGTGCAGGCAGTTGAGCATCCACCTCTTGGTTTCGGCCCAGGTCTTGATCCCAGGGCATGGAATTGAGCCCTGCGTTGGTTCCATGCTGGGTGTGGAGCCCGCATGAGATTCTCTCTCCCTCTGCCCCTGTCCCACACTCTTACGCCATCTTTCTCTCTCTCAAAATACAAAATAAAAGTTAAAAAGGAGCAATGCAGTTCCTGATGCTGCCATTACAAATAACACACAGAAAACAGAAGAATACCTTTTATTTCTACAGACAGTTTCTATGTTACGTGGGGAGCCCGACACAGTTCAGGAGCAAGGCCAGCCCCTGGGCAGCCCCTGCCTCCACACGGAAAACCGCTTGGGAAACTGAGCTCTGCAGATCTCAAGGATGTTATTAAGAAGGTATAATATCAATCAGGAATTTGAGTTGGGGTTTTGTTATGATTGCAGGCATTTAAAAAGCATCTTGTGGGGCGCCTGGGTGGCGCAGTCGGTTAAGCGTCCGACTTCAGCCAGGTCACGATCTCGCGGTCCGTGAGTTCGAGCCCGGCGTCAGGCTCTGGGCTGATGGCTCGGAGCCTGGAGCCTGTTTCCGATTCTGTGTCTCCCTCTCTCTCTGCCCCTCCCCCGTTCATGCTCTGTCTCTCTCTGTCCCAAAAATAAATAAAAAACGTTGAAAAAAAAAAAATTTAAAAAGCATCTTGTAAGCTTTTTGAGACTTGCAAAGATTATAAATTGACATTTTTGTAATTAAACTGAAACTTCTCACTATGTCTTACTAGTTATATTGATGATGTCCACAAGTATGTGACTATTGTGAGGCCTTGAACTTGCTTGGCCTCATAGAAGTCTTTCTGGAGGAAGTGCCATAGACCTGGAATCCTGGTTAGGCTGTGGGGTGTGAGATGACATACAGTCACACTGAAGCCTTTCCCAGAGTGTATCAAAACTACACATCTTACTCTAGATAATTAACATTTTTATTCTATAATTGAGTATATATTAATTACAAAATATTCTTTGTGATTTTTTTTTAAAAGGGCCTTATTCATTATGGACGAGATAACCAGATGTTAGATATTTTACTTTTCCAAGAAGTCCTGGAGTATGTGTCCAGGACAGACAGAGTGCTGAGCTGCCCCGGGGGCTCCCTGCTGCTGGCGGGACGCAGCGGGGTAGGCCGCCGCACCGTCACGTCCTTAGTGAGCCACATGCACGGGGCCATGCTGTTTTCTCCGAAGATCTCCAGAGGGTATGAACTGAAGCAGTTCAAAAATGATATCAAACATGTGAGTTACTCAAAGTCTTTTCCTTTATTTGGTTTTACATCACAATTAGTTATTCTAGAAGCCTTCAGAGAGAACTTCACGTCTCTGAGATGCAACATAACCTTTAATTTTGATGACTATTTTCCCCGTGGCTATTAGAAAATTCTATTTTTATGTACACATAGAAAAAAGATTCTTCGTACGATTTCTAGCTTTCAGGTACCCCAGATTATGAGACATTAGGTGGGCATGGAAGATAAAAGGATAGAATTTCTGTAGGACATATGAGGATATGTTTAAAAATGATCATCTGTCTTAGTTGTAAAATAATTAAGATTTCCCTCAACTATTTGTTCGTGGACTGGATTTATTTTCCAAACTCTATGGCTAGAGTTTAATTTTTCGTTTTGGTAACAAAGAAGAAAAGGAAGTGGGGGGGAAGGAGGAAAGTGGGAGGGGAGGAAGGAGGGATGAGGGAAGGAAGGAGGAAGGAAGAAGAGGAGGAAGGAGGGAGGGAAGGAAGGAAGGGAGGGAGAAGGAAGGAGGGACGGAGGGAGGAGGAAGGGGGGAGGAGGGAAGGGAGGAGGAAAGAGGGAGGGAAGAAGGAAGGGGAGGAGTTTCCTTACATAAAGGACAGAAGTCTGCCCGTGCTGCCGTGTGATTGGTGCGAAATGAGATTTTGTGATGGTGCAGGTGCTGTATCTTGCTGGTGTGGAAGCTCAGCAGGTGGTTTTACTTCTTGAGGACTACCAGTTAGTCCATCCCACCTTTCTGGAGATGATCAACAGCCTCTTGTCTTCAGGCAAGTGCATGATTTCTATTCCGAAAAGTAAAAATAGTGATGTAAAAATTATTCAAATAAATTACCTTGTGTAAAAGTATGTCTCAGAGAACATTTGGCTTGGGTTTTACTAAGTTGACATGGGGTGAAACGCTCCCACAGCTGGAGAGTTGAGAAGCCTCATTTTTATAAAACCAAGAGACGGAAGGATTACATAAACAGGATTATTAATGTCGGTGAATGTTCCGAAGAGCTGCCATCTCACCTGCTTCTGGTGGGACTGCTGGCTGTTACCTTTTGGGAAAGCTCCCAGCCAGTGCTTGTTTAAAAAAATGTGCCCTTGAATACAGCACTTTTATTATCTGTGGAAATAATCGAGTTAGTGTGCAGGGAAACACATGGTCCAACTTATAAGAAAACAATCTGATGGGCCCTCACTGTCCAGCATTAGTGCAGTTGCTGAATAATGGCCTTCGTACGGGTGTGTGAATGCGGGTACATTTTCAGCCTCTGAGGCCTCCTGTTTCCCAAATTGTGGTCCGCTCCTGTTGTCTGTTGAGCCACCTGACCTTTTCTGTGGCTTCCTGGAGAAGACACTTGCAGTTTCCCATGTGTCTCCCTTTTCCGAAGAATTTATGAAATTTATTAGAATCTCTTCATGAGTAATCATGGTTAGAGTTGGTATGAGGTGGCTTAGTTTTAGACTTGGACCGAGATTGTTTTGTTATTTAAGTACAAAATAAACCTTGTTAAAAGCGAGTTTCAGCTGCATGAGTTAATCCATTGTGGAGACTTGCAGACAGACCTACGTGATGCGTTGGCCCTGGTAAGCTCTGAGATGAGTGGTCTTTTTTTTCCAGAACTTAGCAGCTTTGGTTGATGAAAACATTTAATTTCTAGGCCAAAGTGTCTCTACACTTGGCTGTACCACTGAGAGCAGACCGGGACTCTAGAGGACAGGTGGCCGGCCAGTCTCTGGCACAAGTTCCGCGGCTGCTGTGGTAGGAGCGAGAGGTCCTGGGCAAGCTTGGGTGTCAGGACCTTCTTACGGCATAGCCTCCTGAGATCTTGCTGCTGTGTTTCCTGCACACCACTTCCCTTGTCACTAGATGGAGGCCTTTCATTAGGGATGAGATAGACTGGTCTACCAATACACAGCTTTTTGTTTGGGGTTTTTCATTTTGTTTTGTTTGTGAAAGCAAACATGCAGATGAGCGCTGATGTGGGAATTATTGTTTTTATCTTAAGATAAGTTGGGCGTTGTCATCAAGTTATAACTGCAAAAATCATAAGCTAAATTTTATCGACATTTTTAGCAAAAAAGTATTTGAAAAATACTTTCAGAGAAAATAGACCTTTGTCTCTTTTTTTGTGTTTTAAACTCTTATTTTCTATAGAGGGGGTTTACGCATGTAAGTAGAGCTAACTTTTCTTGTTAATTTGAAGGAGTCAAAAGTGTCTAGGCATGGCTGAAATTTATGGCAAGACATAGAGTAGATTTGTGTGTGCGTGTGTTTGGATACGTACCAGTTTGGGGGATGGGCAGCATTCCCACACCTCTGAGTTGACCCTGAAGAAAAGTAGGGTCTGCCTGTGGTGGGACCTGCATGAATGCCCTGCTTTGGACATGTGGCCCAAGGGTCATCTTAGAGTTTCTTGCAAACTTTAAATATACTGGCTTAACAGAGATTTATTAGACACCTGTTATGTGCCAGATCTGGTTCTAAATACTGGGTTTATAGAGGTGAATAAGATATAATTCAGCCCTCTATTAAATACTCATAGTCTTAATCCAGTTTGATTTGCCTTTCATCACTCTGTTGCCTTATAGCAGGGCTATGGGTTAGTTCTCCTGATGCATAATGCAAGTTCACCCATCCATCCATCTATTCATCCATCCATCCATCCATCCATTCATTCATTCATCTAATAAACATTCATGTTCCAGGTACTTTGCTAAGTATGTTCTAAGATAAATGTTGAACATGATCAAATATTTGTCCTCTGGGAATTCAGAAGCTGATTGAAATACTTCATGATTACATGATGTGATAAATACTGAACTGTGATATGTTTAGATACGTGGAAAAAAAAGATCCTTCCCCAGTGCACGGGAGTCAGGGAAGGCTCATGGGCATGGGGGTCGGTACAGGAGTGTCTCATAGGGCAACAGGAAATATGGGGGGGGGGGAATGGGCAGAGGAAGATTGTGGGTATAGATTCACTATATTTATGGAACACACAGAAGTTCAGATGCTGGAATACAAGGTCTTGAATGCGAGGGGCAGAGAAGCAGCAGGAGAACCTGGAAAGATGGCTACATGGCTAGATTATCCACTGTCTTGAATGGCTTGCTTAGGAATCTGAGTTTTATCAAATGAAGGCGACAGGTAGGTTTGTGAGTATAGAGGCGATAGGATCATGTACTTTTGGAAACAGCTTGAATAAGAGCAGACTAGTACAAACACAGAGAAGGTATTGTAGATGTAAAATGTGTTTGGATTAGGGTATGCAGCTAAAATTCAAAAGAAATGCAATATTCCATAGGTGAAGTTCCTGGACTTTATACCCTTGAAGAATTAGAGCCTTTGCTGTTGCCTCTTAAAGATCAGGCTTCACAGGATGGTTTTTTTGGACCAGTCTTCAGTTATTTCACATACAGTAAGTGACTATATTCAGTTAATCAATTCAAACTCTGGTTCATGTGAAATAAATACCATTTAATTTGCTGTATTTGCTAATTAGGTTGCAAAGGTATCTTAAATCTTGGGTCTGTTTGGTATTTTGGTACTTTTTTCTTTTTCACGGTGCTTTTAGAAAACACGTAAGTAGCCTGAAGGCTTACCTATAGTAAAAGCATGTTAGCACAATTTTAGCAGAAGAGAAGGCAGAAAGTGTTCTAATGTTCTTTGGAATATTTACTTTGCTGCTTTTCTTTCTGTATGGTAAAAGTGGTGCTTAGGACCTCCTATCTTAGAAAATTCTGAAACTGTTTAGATTTTACCAGACTCTATGCTTTTTTTTTTTTTTTAATGAAACAACTTTTTATTATCACAGAAGCAGTTTTATGTGCACTGTAGATATCTAAAATTGAATAAGTAAGTATAGGCAATGATATCATCACCCAGACATCACTACTACATTTATTTCCTTTTTTTCCCTAAAAGACCATTTATTATTGACATAGAGGAGTTGTTAGAGAGCTACCCTCCCTTCCCTGTCTGTCAAGTTTACAAGGTAATTCTACCACATCGCTAAGAAACAGATCATCCCAGTGCTATTTGAAACAATTTCAGAACATAGAAAATGAAGGAAAAGTTTCCAAATTCCTTTTTATGACTTATTTATATTGAAACAGGGAAAATATGTCTCCTAAAAGACAATCAGAGATCAATTTGCTTGTGAATATTGAAACTAAAATCCTTGAAAGAAAAATTGTAAAGTAGAATCCAGTATCATAGTTGAAAAGTAACATACAAAACAGGAACATGGTATATACACTTCTTCCTGAATTCCTTCTGGATCTTTCTCTTAACGTGAACATGCATGCGTGCGCACACACACATACACGTGTGCGCGCGCGCACACACACACACACACACACACACAAGTATACACTTCTTCCTGAATTCCTTCTGGATCTCTTCTCTTCACATGGGTGTGTGCATGCGCATGCACACACACCCAAGTATTTTTTAACAAAAGAAAAGATCATAAGTAGAATACTGTTTTATATAGCTTGTTTTTTGTAACAGCTACCATGTCATTTCAGAAATTGTTAAACTCATAAAAGTAGACCACATAAGGATTTCTCCAATTACTATTGTCATAATATGCATGATAATGATTTTCTTATTTTTTTTAAAGGAATTCAGCAAAACTTGCATATTGTCTTGATAATGGATTGTACGAATTTAAACTTCATAATAAACTGTGAGAGTAACCCAGCCTTGCATAAAAAATGCCAGGTGTTGTGGATGGAGGGCTGGTCAGACAGCAGTATGAAGAAAGTAAGTTCAATCCTGAAGTATGGAAATGAAAAATAAGCATATTCTTTCTGAAGTTACTGATTTTCACAACTCCCTCTGGTGTTTGTTATAATATTGTCTTAATTGTGCCACTGACCATAACACGTTTGAAAGCCTCTCCCTTCTCTTTATGTCCTGTACTCAACTTTAGTTGAGTACAGAAGTTCACGTTGAAGATTATGTTCTCAGTTGAGGACTGCGTAGAAAGCTACTGTACCTTAATAATTGTATTCCTTTCATTAACTAGCCTATCATAAGCCAGCTTATAATAGAACATTGCAGCAATAATTTTAGCAGTTTTTTAAATACGAATTTTAAATCTCTTAATATCTCCCGTTGCCGTGCTCAGTGTCTGGAGGGGAGTGTGTTTAAAGTGTGAATGCGAACCACCATCTTTGCCTGGAAACCTTACGTTGCTTGATCCATAATAGTTTTAATGTCTCTGAATAGTACGTATATTCTTGACCATTCACGTCTTCATTTTTGGGTGATCGAGGTACAGACTGTTGAGTCAGACCATGAGTCAGAGGGAGGAATGTGGTTTGGGACAATGGATGGGGTTTTCCGGAAGAGAACATTTTAGTTAGATTTCAGCAAGTAAGGGACAGGAAAGTCATTCTAGTCTGAGGAGGTCCCGCGAACGAGGGGCTTCAAGAAGTAGTGATTACTGGGTCTGTTACAGGTGCCGCCGTTCTGCACGTTGGGTCACAGCAGAGAAAAAGCAGACACCGGCCCCCGCCCTGGTGGGAGTCACAGTGTC